TCTAGCAGACGATACACTATCCGCCCTATTAAATGTGTCAAGTGAGAGAGGTGTGTCCGCACTTGTAAAGTTTATACACAGTGCTATGAGAAAACGGAAGCTATCTAAATTGAGATAACACCTGTAACTTTATTATTACTATGTACATGTATTTAAACTTAAGTATATTATAATTAGTACAATAAATTATTATTATTATTATTATTATTATATTAGACCCGTGACAGCAGTGACCTCTAGCGTTAGATGCTGACTTGGCTGTTTTGAGAAGTTGGCTGTAAGATTTTTTTTAACGCTGTTACATATGGGCGGCGGTTTATACAAAAATGCAAAACACGATTAGTCGTCATCGTTATCAGATCAGTCGAAATGAAAACACGATTAGTCGTCGTCGTTATCAGATCAGAAGGCAAAATACGACTAGTAGTCGTCAAAACGCAACTAGTCATCAAAACGCAACTAGTCATCATCAAAACGCAACTTGTCATCATCAAAACGCAACTTGTCATCATCAAAACGCAACTTGTCATCAAAACGCGATTTGACGCCAGATGGCGCCCATTGTACGAAAATCTAGGCCAAGTCACATGATCCACAGTGATCAAAATGGTGGACGTTATTGAAGCAGCATTATCATATCCAATTGGATATAGATTTTTTATCTCTGTGAAATTTTATGAGTTGGCTATTAGATTATTTTGACCACTGTTAGATTTCTTGTAGGCTGTTAGAATGTCATTTGGCTATTAAATTGCAAGTCTGATTTTTTTGCGTGGATGGCGTTCCATACGCTCGGAGAATTAAAGGGTCAATAAGTAGGTAATGCCGGACGTAATACCCGATATCATACGATCAATCAATGCGTCGTGTGCTCCATATTGAAATACTAGCTCTTTCCGAGCTAATTGCGGGATGAAGATTTGTTCGTGATGCCTTAATACCCGATCAGTCCTAACCACTTACTGACTGCCATCTATTCACTGTTACTTAGCGGCATGCTGTAAACATTCAACGTCAACGATTATTGAAATGTGTGCATAGGTTCAATTTCTTTGAGTTGTAGGCTTCACAATGGCGGGTCTCGTGATAAGCTATCAACCTGCAAGCAATAATTTGGGACCAGTGCCTGGGGAAGATGGGGGTCCTGTAAGGATAAGGCCTATGACAGAGCAGGACTCTGAAAACGTCGCGAACTTACAGATTGAGGCGTTCCGGGAGAAGTTTGAATGGGCAGTAGGGAAATCTAAGTAAGCTGGAAACCATACTTATGTGACCTACAGTAGCGACACGAGGTATTATAATACACTTGCATGATTGCTAGTGCAATATGGACGCAAGCGACACTCTAAAGAGCGTATTCTTTTGAAATAAGGATACTATAACAATTGACAATGCCACGTTACTGCGTTATATATGACTTGTTGAACGTCACCCCGGTTCAATCCACGGGTTCTTGCTTATTTTTAGCGGCGACAGAGCTACATGTACGCATTATAATGGGTCGTATATTAACACGATCGAGCGAGCAATCCTACTTAAAGTTAAAATATAATCAGTATATATTTTGCAGACCATGCTATATAATTTGTCCATAGGACCCGTTCATCTCGTATTCAGCCCGAATATTTAGAAAATTCGAGATTTTCAGGGTTTAAATATGTATTAAACACAAGCCTTTGTCCCCGCTTTTCAGGCTTTTTACCTGGGCTCCGTCATGGTTCCCAGCTTCAACAGTGCATTTGTGTTCAGACATTGTTCAGATTGCATTGAATGGCTTCTCAATCAATAAAACACTTAATTTTAGTGTCACATTGAAGAAGTCTGTAGGGAATACAAAACATGCAAGTCATCATCACGTTTGTTGTGGTGGAGCTCAGCGAATAATTAGTCCATGTCGTCTGTCATTGATATGATGACAACATTGCTGTCCTTCTATATGGAATTTAATCAGTTAAACGACATTATCTTCATTATGACCGATTATGACAAGCATGGTTCTCCACTAAGTAGTTTTAAATTATACAAAGTTATTTATATTGACTTTCAGTGTCAATAAAGTGAGTAGAGCGTGGGGCAATGGGTTGAGAAGATCTCCTCTATGGTGGCCCAGATATTTCGTTGCCGAGTTAAATGACGAGTTTGGCTGTCATTTTGCTGGCGCGATCGTTTTAGGTTTCTATGCAGACAGGAGGTAAGCCTTAAGGATGGTATCTCTCTTGTAGACAAAACCAAAAAGAACTCCTCTTACGTCCAAAACAAAGAATTTTAATTAAATAAGTATTAACTTTAATTAAATTAGTATTTGCTTATTCCTTTAAGTTGAACTCCATTCCGTATATTGTCCCATGCTGACAAAACAACAACATCATATTTTAAATAACGATAAAATATGATGCATATTTGCACACTTCAGAACCACTTAATTGTCTCTACGTACATGTGAAACTAGTCTTCAATGTCAGAAGCAGATATCTGATCAAATTCTGAGCTGTGACACGAGGGGTTTCTTCTCAGATTGAAAAACGAGTCGGATAAGTTATATCTTGCCAACCCACTTTAGGCCTAAGTGTCAGAATACAGAAAAGGGGGTATCCAAATTGGAAAGTCAAATTCTAAGAGGTTTTTATTTTCAGCTTGCCAGAACCAAATTTTGACACGAATGGACTTGGTTGCAAAATCCTCTGTGGGTATGTACTGGTACTCTTATTTATTTTGCATCTGAAATAACAACTTTCCGCTCTCTGTTCAACCAACAGTAAAATAACTACAGTCTACAGGCTTGGTTTCTCAAATGATTTCTTGAAAAGCAAAGAAATAACGAACCTTAATTAGTGAAAGGTGTGGATTCCTTTGCAGAATGGCGTGTATGGAAATGGCTCTTGGTGAAAAACCATCAGATCCAAGTAAGGGTTACGTGGAGGCTATTTGTGTAGAATCCAAGTTTCGTGGAAAGGGGATTGGCAAAGTGCTTCTGGACAGAGCTGAATACGAAGCGAAAGCAATGGGATGCAGGGTATTTATATGAAATCTTTCTCCTCTCCTTCCTCCCCACCTCTCTCTCTCTCTCTCTCTCTCTCTCTCGTGCTATTAACTTGAATGTATTGCATATTCTGTATATTCAGATATATTTGACATGCAATGTTTTTGTTTTGTTTACAGTCCATCTATCTAAAGGTAAAACGAACAAATCGAGCAAAGAACCTGTATGAACGTCAGGGCTATAGAGTGACAAAGGACCATGATGGTTGCTGTTGCACATATTGTGCAGTTGGAGTCAGGGTAAGGGCTGTTATAAACATGTACACCGTGGTTTATCACATGCTTATATATATATGTGTGTGTGTGTGTGTGTGTGTGTGTTTGGGGGAGGGTAAAGGCAAAATATGTGCTTTTGGGGGGGCCCTGTTAACGGGGTCTTGTTCCACAAGGTTATATCTTTAGAACTTATTAGTCTTAAATGAAATATTTGGCATACAGAACTGGATGGGGTCTCCTGAGGATCCAGAGTTATTTTCTGACAGTCTTCCAATTTATCTTTGTTGATCCATCCTCCATTTTTGACCGTCTTCCGACAGAAAAAATTAGATACCCGTCAATGTAAACTTGAAAATCTGACCGTCTTCCGGAAGACCCATAAGACGCCTTAAATCCGCCCCTTGACACCTCCTTGCTACTTTCGCATATGAGTAATGACTGACTTGTTTGAGACTTTTATACCAATAATTAAATCAATTTAATTTTGAAAATGATGCACACTGATCCAACTACTGAAATGTAATATATGCTGTAACGTAATTATTTATAGCTGACAAGTACTCCATTTCTTTTAGCATTTTTACGAAATGGAAAAACAGCTTATTTAGAATGAAATAGGAAGACAGGATATGCTGATGTTGTCGTATATATGCCTTTCGATGAAAAAAGGAAAAGACGGAAGAAAAAAGTATGTATGCATCCACAGATTTGAAATTCTAAAGGATCAACTAACCATGCTGTAAATGTATGCAGGTGACTCAACGTCTTACCATAGAAGTATTGGAGATAACCGATTGGACATCCTTCTGCACAGAATGACATTTGTTAGTAAAATATGGGCGGTGCCCCGATTCCTTCATGGGAATGTACCAGATTAACTACCAGCCAGCACAATTTTCTGTGATACACTGTTTATGTGCTGTTAACAGAAATGGACTTATTGTAGCCTCTGAATCTCAGGTGTATGTGATTTCAAAATGAACTATATTTATATCTCTCTTACTTATATCTCCAGAATTTTAAGAAATATTGTTTGGATATAAAGAATTTTATTAGTAACGCAAGATTTTTTAATGTTAAGCTTTTTTAGTGTTTAAGTATTTTTAACAGATATCTTCAAGATTTAATGAAAAAAGAAAAATTAACGTATTTGCTTTAGAGTCCTTATACAGGCCCGTAGCCAGTAATTTCAAAAGGGGGGTGGGGTCTTTTTCTGAAAAAGTGGACCTTTTTCCATAAAAACTTCATGTACCTAGATCAAATTTTACTCAGAGTAGACCTTTTCCGAGCAAAGGGGCGGTTTTTTTTAACCCCCCGAACTCCCCTGGCTATGGGTCTCTTATATAAGCACCACGTCGCTTGCAAGTCTCATAATATTGTGTGTTTGCTGTACTTTAAGTGCCTGTTTCAAATAGTTCTTTGTTTTGTTGATTGTTTGTGATTATGTAATATGAGTTTACAGTTATAAGCAATATGTTGCTCGTAATATTTTTGTATTGTGGTCTTTGTCAGGTTTTTGTAATGACGGATTTGTAAAAGATGCAACTTAATTTTTTTTTCAAAGTGACATTTAAGCTTTTCACATTGTATGTCCAAATGCGCATACATATAGCAAAATTCTTACAGATATCATACATTTGAATAAAAATAGTTTTTTATATGTTGACCACGGATCTGCTATTATTAGCAATACTGACTCTAGCCACTAGCAACAGATTGGGGGTGTGTTTGGCAAAATTTTGCCTTGGCGCTTCCATATTTGGAACGTCACAGATCTGTCCGGCCTGTAGCTGCCTTTCCCGCCTTTAGCTGACGTCATCTCGTGCAGACGAGACAAAAAAGCCAAGTGGCTGACGCGGAGATTGAAGTTTGAACTATGAATACCTTATAATGCATTCGAAAACCATTGCCACAACACAAGCATCTCTCTGCTTTAAATCTGATTTTTGATGCAGACATTGCGGAGTCCGTACATGACATACAGTGTAGCTGTCAAACTTTGCATACGGCAAGCACGTGTATTGTGTTTATATCTTCAGGAGCAAATGTTTTTTGATAAGCAAAAAATACAATAACATCTGGCATATCATTTTCTTCTAAAAAGATATTATAAATTTTACAATTCACATATTAAATACAGTGAGTAAAATTAAATAAAGCAAAATTAAATATGCTTTACGTTTGATTTTGGACTAATAAAATTCAACCGCAGATTTAGGCCTACTTTTGAACAGTCCCTTTGATGGACGGATAGCCTACTCGAAATTGTCGCTGTTCGTCAGGGCCACTGTAAAGCTCCCACTGCAAAGTTATGAATAGTGAGCAAGCTAGCTTTATAGTGCCCTGACACTCGGGGCAGAATACGCGGACCTTTTGAGGAAACGTGGTGGTAGGCCTATCATCCTGTGGGGATGAAGAGGCAGTCGTCTTTATCCATAGTGACTTCCGACCAAGGTAGGCCCTATATTCCGAAAGCTTGGAAATTTTTCCATGTCAACTTTCTCAGCATTCACAGAGTTAGGCCCTATACCCACGGTCTTTTCTGAAATCATCTTTTCCACCAAATCTTTGTACTTTCCATCAATAAATATTAGTCGCTTGGTTCCATCCATGAGACAGTTGATATTGTCGATATCGTCGCTGTGCAGCACTGACTTAGTAGGCCTACCCCCGCTACTAAACCAGAGCACAGCGTCCTGCAGGATTTTGGTGTAGCCACAACACAAGAGGAGCTTCGGGAGGTGAAACTCCTCCATCATTTTAGTACCCAAACTGTAGACCATATAAATATGAGCTTCTTCGTATAAATTTAGGAAGGTGGACATCGGCACACGCAGCATGCCTCCTTGTCGAGTCTCCTTTCCCTTTTCAATGTCGATCTTGATATTTTTATTTCGTAGATATTTATCAGTCCACAAGTTGAACGTTGGGATACCTTTAGCTTTCCCTTTAAATAGAAGTGGTCTGATGTAGTTGTTGTAAAATGTCGCCGGGTCGGGTCAAAAGTCTTTGATGTCAATCGTTCCTTCCGCAGGCCGGTGAGACCCTAAATACCGTAAATGTCCAGGTATCTCCTCCTCCTGAATGTTGCCCTACCGGATAGGAATACTTCATACTCGCTTCCTGCAGCTGAGAAGTGGCAGATTTTCTACTTTAGTAAAACTCATGGAAGTAGAGACTAGATCGATTTGAGAATGTGAGATGGCGCTACGAGCGACAGAAACGGTTAAAATTTAGTTCGTTTGTGTTTGTGTGCGTGAGAGAAGGAGAGAGAGAGAGAGAGAGCAGATGCAGATAAATCTGTCTGAATCTATTTGCTATTTGCAATCGCATAAGACAAAATCAACCTAATGTCCACGTTTACAAAAGTTGCATTATGTGCACCAAATGAAACGTTTCATAGCCAGTCAAATCTTAGTTTACCATAATTCAGACTTCCACACGACTCAGCCATTTGTTTTACATGTATGTTTATGTAAAACGTTTAGTTTGTTTCTGTAATAAATTTTTATCATATAATGTAACACATTGCTGATATCTTTATGTGACTTGTATTTGTAGTGCTGGATATGTAAAACTGTATTACTGGACAGTGGCCTAAATTTCTTTAAGAATAAACGATTCACCTGTTTCTTATGTTGACTTCATGCTGGTTAATTAATTAACGCATATTTGTAAAGAAAAAACACCAGAGGGTTCACAGAAACAAAAACTGGCGTCCTTTGAGAAGAGTGAGAAATTATTTTGAAGCATCTATTCATGCCATTTTGGCTGAGAAATAATCGATTAAAGTTTTTAACACTCGAATGTTTCTAAAGGTCTTGTAAATATACATGTATAGATCTGAATAAAACAAATTCAGGACATACGTTGATCGCAGATATATTAATTTATATGAATAATTTTTAAAATATTATAAAACTAACTCAAATTATGGAAACGAACGTAAAATGCAGGTTTTCCAGGTGTGTCCCTTTTTCACGATTTGAAAAGACCGATAATGTGTAAAAGACTAAATAAATTAATTAATTAATTAATTAATTAATTAATATATAAACAATTTTATGTTGCTAGAATACGTTGCTCGATAATTAAAATAGCTATTTGTTAATGAATACGATAAAATTCAACCGAACCGATGCAGTATAGGCCTGTTGTTTTGATATGTATAGAAAGCTGTCGGGTATTTCCTTTAAGCTAGCTGATTCTTTGGTGATTACATGGATGAGGTTTCCTATCTGGAAAGGTCTGCTGCGCTTGGAGAAGTAAAGGGTCAATAAGTAGGTAATGCCGGACGTAATACCCGAGATAAGAAAAACTGATAAGCTCAATGCGTTGTGTGCTCCATATTGAAATACTAGCTCTTTCCGAGCGAATTGCGGGGTGAAGATTTGTTCGTGATGCCTTAATACCCGATCAGTCCTGACCCCTTACTGTGACTGCAATCTAAACACTGTTACTTAGCGGCATGCTGTAAACATTCAACGTCAACGATTATTGAAATGTGTGCATAGGTTCTATTTCTTCGCGTTGTACATAGGCTTCACAATGGCGGGTCTCGTGATAAGCTATCAACCTGAGAGCAATATTTTGGGACCTGTGCCTGGGGAAGATGGAGGTCCTATAAGGATAAGACCTATGATAGAGCAAGACTCTGAAAACGTCGCGAACTTGCAGATCGAGGCGTTCCGGGGGAAGGTTGAATGGGCAGTAGGGAAATCTAAGTAAGCTGGAAACCATTACTTATGTGACCTCCAGTAGCGACACGAGGTATTATAATACATTTGCATGATTGCTAGTGCAATACAGATGCAAGCGACACTCTAAAGAGCGTATTCTATTGAAATAAGGGTATAACAATTGACAAATAATACCACGTTACTGCAGTATTAATATCGTTATATATGACTTGTTGAACGTTCAATCCACGGGTTCTTGCTTATTTTATCGGTGACAGAGCTACATGTACGCATTATAATGGGTCGTGTATTAACACGATCGCGCGAGCAATCCTACTTAATTAAAGTTAAAATATAATCAGTATATACTTTGCAGACCATGCTTTATATATTGTCCATAGGACCCGTTCATCTCGTATTCAGCCCGAATATTTAGAAAATTCGAGATTTTCAGGGTTAAAATATGTATTAAACACAAGCCTTTGTCCCGGCTTTTCAGGCTTTTTACCTGGGCTCCGTCATGGTTTCCAGTTTCAACGGTGCATTTGTGATCAGACATTGTTCAGATTGCATCGAAAGGCTTCTCAATCAATAAAACATCTAATTTCGGTGTCACATAAAAGAAGTCTGCAGGGAATACAAAACATGCAAGTCATCATAACGTTTGTTCTGGTCGAGCTCAGCGAATAATTAGTCCATGTCGTCTGTCATTGATATGATGACAACATTGCTGTCCTTCTATATGGAATTTAATCAGTTAAACGACATTATCTTCATTATGACCGATTATGACAAGCATGGTTCTCCACTAAGCAGTTTTAAATTATACAAAGTTATTTATATTGACTTTCAGTGTCAATAAAGTGAGTAGAGCGTGGGGCAATGGGTTGAGAAGATCTCCTCTATGGTGGCCCAGATATTTCGTTGCCGAGTTAAATGACGAGTTTGGCTGTCATTTTGCTGGCGCGATCGTTTTAGGTTTCTATGCAGACAGGAGGTAAGCCTTAAGGATGGTATCTCTCTTGTAGACAAAACCAAAAAGAACTCCTCTTACTTCTGTCCAAAACAAAGAATTTTAATTAAAAGTATTTGCTTATTCCTTTAAGTTGAACTCCATTCCGTTTATTGCCCCATGCTGACAAAACAACAACAATAGTAAGGGCATTCATAGGCTCGATCTATGATATGCATCATATTTTAAATAACGATAAAATATGATGCATATTTGCACACTTCAGAACCACTTAATTGTCTCTACGTACATGTGAAAGTAGTCTTCAATGTCAGAAGCAGACATCTGATCAAATTCTGAGCTGTAACACGAGGGGTTTCTTCTCAGATTGAAAAACGAGTCGGATATTAAAGTTATATTTTGCCAACCCACTTTAGGCCTAAGTGACAGAATACAGAAAAAGGGGTATCCAAACTGGAATGTGTGCATATTTCTAACGCGTCAAATTCTAAGAGGTTTTTATTTTCAGCTTGCCAGAACCACATTTCGACACGAATGGACTTGGTTGCAAAGTCCTCTGTGGGTATGTACTGGTACTCTTATTTGTGTCTCATCTGAAATGTCAACTCTCCGCTCTCTGTTCAACCAACAGTAAAATAACTACAGTCTATAGGCTTGGTTTCTCAAATGATTTATGGAAAAGCAAAGAAATAACGAATCTTGATTAGTAAAAGGTGTGGATTCCTTTGCAGAATGGCGTGTATGGATATGGCTCTTGCTGAAAAAAAATCAGATCCAAGCAAGGGTTACGTGGAGACTATATGTGTAGAATCCAAGTATCGTGGAAAGGGGATTGGCAAAGTGCTTCTGGACAGAGCGGAATACGAAGCGAAAGCAATGGGATGCAAGGTATTTATATGGAATCTTTCTCCTCTCCTTCCTCCCTACCTCTCTCTCTCTCTCTCTCTCTCTCTCTCTCTCTCTCTCTCGTGCTTTTAACTTGAATGTATTGCATCTTCTGTATATTCATATATATATGACATGCAATGTTTTTGTTTTGTTTACAGTCCATCTATCTAAAGGTAAAACGAACAAATCGAGCAAAGAACCTGTATGAGCGCCAGGGCTATAGAGTGACAAAGGACCATGATGGTTGCTGTTGCACATATTGTGCAGTTGGAATCAGGGTAAGGGCTGTTATAAACATGTACGCCATGGTTTATCACATGTTTACATATATATGTAGACATCTTTATATTTGAGGGGAGGGTAAAGGCAAAACATGTGCTTTTTGGGGCCCCTGTTAACTGGGTCTTGTTCCACAAGGTTATATCTTTAGGACTTACTTGTCTTTAATGAAATATTTGGCATACAAAACTGGATGGGGTCCACTGACACCTCCCTGCTACTTTCGCATGTGAGTAATGACTGACTTGTTTGAGACTTTTATACCAATAATTTGCCAATAATTAAATCAATTTAGTTTTGAAAATGATGCACACTGATCCAACTACTGAAATGTAATATATGCTGTAACGTAATTATTTATAGCTGACAAGTACTCCATTTCTTTTAGCATTTTTACGAAATGGAAAAACAGCTTATTTAGAATGAAATAGGAAGACAGGATGTGCTGATGTTGTCGTACATATGCCTTTCGATGAAAAAAGGAAAAGACGGAAGGAAAAAGTATATATGCATCCACAGATTTGAAATTCTAAAGGATCAACTAACCATGTTGTAGATGTATACAGGTGACTCAACGTCTTACCATAGCAGTATTGGACATAACCGATTTGACATCCTTCTGTACAGAATGACATATGTCAATAAAATAAGGGCGGTGCCCCAATTCCTCCATAGGAGTTTACCAGATTAACTACCAGCCAGCACAATTTTCTGTGATACACTGTATATGTGCTGATAACAGAAATGGACTTATTGTAGCCTCTGAATCTCAGGTGTATGTGATTTCAGAAAGAACTATATTTATATCTCTCTTACTTATATCTCCAGAATTTAAAGAAATATTGTTTGGATATAAAGAATTTTATTAGTAACGCAAGTATTTTTTAATGTTTAGCTTTTTAGTGTTTAAGTATTTTTAAAAGATATCTTCAAGATTTAATGAAAAAAGAAAAATTAACGTATTTGCTTTAGAGTCCTTATATATAAGCACCACATCGCTTGCAAGTCTCATAATATTGTGTTTGGTGTAGTTTAAGTGCCTGTTTCAAATAGTTCTTTGTTTGGTTGATTGCTTGTGATTATGTAATATGAGTTTACAGTTTTATGCAATATGTTGCTCGTAGTATTTTCGTATAGTGGTCTTTGTCAGCTTTTTGTAATGACGGATTTGTAGAAGATGCAACTTAATTATTTTTCAAAGTGACATTTAAGCTATTCACATTGTATGTCCAAATGCGCATACCTATAACAGAATTCTTACAGATATCATACATTTGAATAAAAATAGTTTTTATTTATGTTGACCACGGATCTGCTATTATTAGCAATACTGACTCTAGCCACTAGCAACAGATTGGGGGTGTGTTTGGCAAAAATTTGCCTGGGGCGCTTCCATATTTGGAACGTCACAGATCTGTCCGGCCTGTAGCTGCCTTTCCCGCCTTGCGCTGACGTCCCCTCGTGCAGATGAGACAAAAAAGCAAAGAGGCTGACGCAGAGTTTGAAGTTTGAACTAAGAATACCTTAATGCATTCGAAAATCATTGCAACAACACAAGCATCTTTCTCTTTTAAATCTGATTTTTGATGCAGCCATTGCGCAGTCCGTACATGACATACAGTGTAGCTGTCAAACTTTGCATACGGCAAACTTTGCATACTGCTATTATTAGCAATACTGACTCTAGCCACTAGCAACAGATTGGGGGTGTGTTTGGCAAAATTTTGCCTTGGCGCTTCCATATTTGGAACGTCACAGATCTGTCCGGCCTGTAGCTGCCTTTCCCGCCTTTAGCTGACGTCATCTCGTGCAGACGAGACAAAGAAGCCAAGTGGCTGACGCGGAGATTGAAGTTTGAACTATGAATACCTTATAATGCATTCGAAAACCATTGCCACAACACAAGCATCTCTCTGCTTTAAATCTGATTTTTGGTGCAGACATTGCGGAGTCCGTACATGACATACAGTGTAGCTGTCAAACTTTGCATACGGCAAGCACGTGTATATCTTCAGGAGCAAATGTTTTTTTTATAAGCAAAAAAATACCATAACATCTGGCATCTCATTTTCCTCTCAAAAAGATATTATAAATTTTACAATTCACATCTTAAATACAGAGAGTAAAATTTAAAAAAGCAAAATTAAATATGCTTTACGTTTGATTTTAGACTTATAACATTCAACTGTAGATTTACTGTGGAGCAGTTCCTTTGATGGACGGATACTCGACGCTGGTCGTCAGGGCCACTGTGAAGCTCCGACTGCAAAGGTATGAATAGTGAGCAAGCTAGCTTTATAGTGCCCTGACTGTTGAGGAAACGTGGTGGTATCATCCTGTGGGGATGAAGATGCAGTCGCCTTTATCCATAGTGACTTCCGACCATGGTATATTCGGAAAGCTTGGAAATTTTTCCATGTCAACTTTCCCAACATCCACAGTGTTATAGCTACCGTCTTTTCTTAAATCACCTTTTCCGACTGATAGATTTTTACAGATATTCACAGATATGTCTCTAGCTAGATAGATGATCATTTTGGGGCTTAAGTCTGACTTCAGCCCAAAATGGCCATCTATCTAGCTAGAGACATATCTGTGAATATCTGTAATATCTAGCTAGAGACATATCTGTGAATATCTGTAAAAATCTATCAGTCGCCCTAGTAGAGGGTATAGTACCCCCGCTACTAAACCACAGCAAAGCGTCCTGCAGGATTTTGATATAGCCACCACACAAGAGGGGCTTCATCATTTTAGTACCCAAGCTGTAGACCATCTAGATATTAGCTTCTTTGTATAAATTTAGGAAGGTGGACATCGGCATGCCTCCTTGTAGAGACTCCTTTCCCTTTTCAATGTCGATCTTGATATATTTATTTCGTAGATATTTATCAATCCACAAGTTGATCGCTGGGATACCTTTAGCTTTCCCTTTAAATAGAAGTGGTTTGCCGGGTTTAATGTAGTTGTTGTAAAATGTCGCCGGGTCGGGCCAAAAGTCTTTGATTTCAACCGTTCCTTCCACATGACGTTGAGACCCTAAATACTGTAAATGCCCGCAGGTATTTCCTCTGCAAAACAAATGGCCACGAGGCCAGCAAATAAGCAGAAAGCAGAGAAAATAATAACGTGCGACACAACTCCCATATTTTCTACTTGAATGTTGCCCTACCGGATTGGAATACTTCATACTCGTTTCCTGCAGCTGAGAAGTGGCAGATTTTCTACTTTAGTAAAACTCATGGAAGTAGAGACTAGATCGATTTGAGAATGTGAGATGGCGCTACGAGCGACAGAAACGGTTAAAATTTAGTTCGTTTGTGTTTGTGTGCGTTAGAGAAGGAGAGAGAGAGAGAGAGAGAGCAGATGCAGATAAATCTGTCTGAATCTATTTGCTATTTGCAATCGCATAAGACAAAATCAACCTAATGTCCACGTTTACAAAAGTTGCATTATGTGCACCAAATGAAACGTTTCATAACCAGTCAAATCTTAGTTTACCATAATTCAGAACTCCACACAACTCAGCCATTTGTTTTACATGTATGTTTATGTAAAGCGTTTAGTTTGTTTCTGTAATAAATTTTTATCATATAATGTAACACATTGCTGATATCTTTATGTGACTTGTATTTGTAGTGCTGGATATGTGAAACTGTATTACTGGACAGTGGCCTAAATTTCTTTAAGAATAAACGGTTCACCTGTTTCTTATGTTGACTTCATGCTGGTTAATTAATTAACGCATATTTGTAAAGAAAAAACACCAGAGGGTTCACAGAAACAAAAACTGGCGTCCTTTGAGAAGAGTGAGAACTTATTTTGAAGCATCTACTCATGCCATTTTGGCTGAAAAATAATCGATTAAAGTTTTTAACACTCGAATGTTTCTAAAGGTCTTGTAAATATACATGTATAGATCTGAATAAAACAAATTCAGGACATACGTTGATCGCAGATATATTAATTTATATGAATAATTTTGAAAAAAATATAATAAAACTAACTCAAATTCTGGAAACGAATGTGTCCCTTTTTCACGATTTGAAAAGACCGATAATGTGTAAACGACTAAATAAATAAATAAATGAATAAACAATTTTATGAATATTTTTTTTAGAATACGTTGCTCGATAATTAAATAGCTATTTGTTAATGAATACGATAAAAATCAACCGAACCGATGCAGCATAGGCCTGTTGTTTTGATATGTATAGAAAGCTGTCGGGTATTTCCCTAAAGCTAGTTGATTCTTTGGTGATTACATGGATGAGTTTTCCTATCTGGAAAGGTCTGTTGCGCTTGGAGAAGTAAAGGGCCAATAAGTAGGTGAAGCTGGACGTGATACCTGAGATACAAAATACTGATAAGCTCAATGCGTTGTGTGCTCCGTATTGAAATACTAGCTCTTTCCGAGCGAATTGCGGGGTGAAGATTTGTTCGTGATGCCTTAATACCCGATCAGTCCTGACCCCTTACTGACTGCCATCTATTCACTGCTACTTAGCTGCATGCTGTAAACAATTCTACGTCAACGATTATTGAAATGTGTGCATAGGTTCTATTTCTTCGCGTTGTACATATAGGCTTCACAATGGCGGGTCTCGTGATAAGCTATCAACCTGCGAGCAATATTTTGGGACCAGTGCCTGGGGATGATGGGGGCCCTATAAGGATTAGACCTATGACAGAGCAGGACTCGGAATACGTCGCGAAGTTGCAGGTCGAGGCGTTCCGGGAGAAGTTTGAATGGGCAGTTGGGAAATCTAAGTAAGCTGGAAACCATTACTTATTTTACCTACTGATATGACAGTTTGTAGAGCGACACGAGGTATTATGATACATTCCAGGGGCGGATTTAGGCCGTCTTCTGGGTCTTCCGGAAGACGGTCAGATTATCAAGTTTACATTGACTGGTATCTAATTTCTTCTGTCGGAAGACGGTCAAAAATAGAGGATGGATCAACAAATATAATTTGGAAGACTCTCAGAAAAACTCTGGATCCGCCCCTGCATTCGCATGATTGCTAGTGTAATGTGGATGCAAGTCACACTCTAAACAGCGCATTCTTTTTAAGTAAAGGTATAACAATTGACAAAAGCCCCGTTACTACAGTATTAATATCGTTATATCCCCTGTTCTATCCACAGGCGCTTGCCTATTTTTAGCGTTGAGAGACCTACATTTATGTACGCATTATAATTGGGTCGTATATAATATATACTATATTAACGCGAGCAATCCTACTAAAAGGTAAAACATAATAATACATACTAGTAGTTTTCAGACTGTGCTATATATATTTACAGATTATTATCCTGAGGACCCGTTTATTTCGTATTCAGCCCGAATATTCAGAAAATAAAGCCTTTTCAGTGTTAACAATATGTATTAAACACAAGCCTTTGTCCCCGCTTTTCAAGCTTTTTTACCTGGGCTACGTCATGTATTGGTTCCCAGTTTCAACAGTGAATTGTGTTCAGACATTGTTCAGATTGCATCGAAAGGCTTCTCAATCAATAGAACATTAAATTTCAGTGTCAAACTAAAGAAGTCTGTAGGGAATACAAAACATGCAAGTCATCATCACGTTTGTTCTGGTGGAGCTCAGCGAATAATTAGTACATGTCGTCTGTCATTGATATGATGACAACATTGCTGTCCTTCTATATGGAATTTAATCAGTTAAACGACAATCATTTTCTTCATTATGACCGATTGTGACAAGCATGGTTCTCCACTAAGCAGTTTTAAATTATACAAAGTTATTTATATTGACTTTCAGTGTCAATAAAGTGAGTAGAGCGTTGGGCAATGGGTTGAGAAGATCTCCTCAATGGTGGCCCAGATATTTCGTTGCCGAGTTAAATGACGAGTTCGGCTGTCACTTTGCTGGCGCAATCGTATTAGGTTTCTATGCAGACAGGAGGTAAGCCTTAAGGATGGTATCTCTCTTACAGACAAAAAAAAAAAATCTCAGAATTCTGTCAGAAAAAAATAATAAATCAAGTATTTGCTTATTCCTTCAAGTTGAACTCGTTGAATTTCGTTCATAGCTCAGTGTTGACAACAAGAACAATAGTAATGGCATTCAGGGGCTCTATGATATGCAGCAAGTTTTAATTAATGACGTAATATGATGCATATTTGCACACTTCAGAGCCACTTGTCTCTACGTACATGTACACTAGTCTTTAATATTAGAAACAGATATCAGATCAAATTATGAGCTGTGCCACGAGGGGTTTCTTCTCAGATTGAAAAACGAGTCGGATATTAAAGTTATATCTTGCCAAACCACTTAATTTAGGCCTATGTGACAAATACAGCAAAATGGTATCCAAATTGGAAACTGTACATATTTCTAACAAGTCAAATTCTAAGGTTTTTATTTTCAGCTTGCCAGAACCTAATTTTGACACGAATGGACTTGGTTGCAGAGCCATCTGTGGGTATGTACTGATACTCTTATTTGTTTTGCATCTAAAATGTTAACTTTCCACTCACAACCTTGGGCATAATAACGAATATGTCCAAGGTTCAACCAACAATAAAATAACTACAGTTTACAGGCTTGGTTTGTCAAATGATTTATGGAAAAGCAAAGAAATAACGAACCTCAATTAGTAAAAGGTGTGGATTCCTTGCAGAATGGCGTGTATGGAAATGGCTCTTGGTGAAAAACGATCAAATCCAAGTAAGGGTTACGTGGAAGCCATATGTGTAGATTCCAAGTATCGTGGAAAGGGGATTGGCAAAGTGCTTCTGGACAGAGCGGAATACGAAGCGAAAGCAATGGGATGCAGGGTATTTCTCCTCTCCTCGCCCCTCTCTCTTTCTCTTTCTCTCTCTCTCGTGCTATATGCATATTCTGTATATTCAGAAACACTTGACAAGCAATGTTTTTTGTTTTGTTTTCAGTCCATTTATCTATATGTAAAACAAACAAATCGAGCAAAGAACCTGTATGAGCGTCAAGGCTATAGAGTGACTGAGAACCATGATGGTTGCTGTTGCACATATTGTGCAGTTGGAGTCAGGGTAAGGACTGTAATAAACATGTACGCCGTGGTTTATCACATGCTAACATATATAATTTAGACAAATTTATGTTTGGGGGGAGGGTAAAGGCAAAGTATGTACTTTTTTGGGGCCCCTGTTCACTGGGGTTTTGGTCCACAACCTAATATATTTTATAACTTGCTTGACTTTAATGAAATATTTCTCATACAGAAATGAATGGGGTCCCCTAACACATTCCCTGCTACTTTATCATATGACTGACTTGGTCTGAGACTTTTATACTAATAATTTGCCAATAATTATATCAATTTTGGTTTGACAATGGTGCACTATGAACCAACTACTGAAATGTGATATATGCTGTAACGTAATTATTGATAGCTAACAAGTACTCAATTTCTTTTAGCATTTTTACGAAATGGAAAAACAGCTATTTTAGAATGAAACAGGAAGACAGGATATGCTGATGTTGTCGTACATATGCCGTGCAGGGAAAAAAGAAAAGACGGAAGAAAAAGGATATATGCATCTACAGAAATGAATTTCTATATGATTAACTAACCATGCTGTCAGTGTATGCAGGTGACTTAATGTCTTTCCACAGCAGTATTGGACATAACCGATTTGACATCCTTCTGTACAGAATGACATATGTCAGTAAAATAAGGGCGGTGCCCCGATTCCTCCATAGGAATGTACCAGAATTACTACCAGCCAGCACAATTTTCTGTGATACACTGTATATGTGCTGTTAACAGAAATATATATATATATATATATATATATATATATATATATATATATATATATATATTTATTGTAGCCTCTGAATCTCAGGTGTATGTGATTTGAAAAAGAACTTTACAGTATTTCTATATCTCTTACTTAGCTCTCTAGAATTTTAAGAAATATTATTGTTTAGATATGAAGAATTTTTATAAGTAACGCAAGAATTTTTAGCTTTTTAGTGTGTTAGTATTTTTTAAAAGATATATTCATGATCTAATGAAAAAGGAAAAGAAGGGAAATTTACTTATTTGTTTGAGAGTCCTCATATAAGCACCACGTGCGTGCAATTAAGTCTCATAATATTGTTTAATGTACTTAAGAACCCGTTTTAAATAATTCTTTGCTTTGTTGATTGCTTGTGATCATGTAATATGAGTTATATGCAATATGTTGCTCGTGTTATGTTCGTAAAGTGGATTTTGTCAGATTTTTGTATATTTAAAGATGCAACTTTTTTATTTTTTAAGTAATTAATTAATTTATTTATTTATTTATTCATTTATTTTGTAAAGTGACATAAATTGTAATATATATATTTCAACCACAACGTGTTTGGAACAAGAAACTCTGGAAGACTCACAGGTACCCAACCCGACGTCTTCTGAGAATAGTGAGAGATTCTTTTTGAAAACTTTATTATTGCCATTAAAGCTGTTAACATTATATGTCCAAATACCATTTAGCAAAATTCTTACAGATATCATACATCTGAATAATAATGGTCTTTACATGTGTTGACCACGAATCTGCTATTATTAAATATAGAAGGATGATACATCAGAAACTCACCACCATCGTAAGTGACACTAAAAAAGAAAAAAAAGGAGGGGGGGGGGGGGGGCACGTAAGCAACTAGCGGGCTGTGAACAATGTATTACTTCATAATTCTTCATGTTTTTTCTCGTTTTCACCCGAATTCTTTGCCTCATCATTAACTTGAAAATTCGGGAATTTTTTGATGAACTCGTCAATGTCAAAGGAGTTCAGCTCCATCCAGTCCAGAAGCGAATCATTATTCCCATCAATAAAATCAAAAATGTTTATCCACTCATCCCGCTGAAGATCGCTTTGGGCTTCTTTGGTTGCGTCCAGAAACTCATCTTTACTGATTTCTTGGTCTTTGAATGGCCTCAATAAGTCAGTTAGCTCGCCCCTCACTTCTTCATTATCGTAATTTAGAGAAGCTACTTTGAATTTAGTGAGGGGTAAGGATTCTGGAAGCTCCCCTGGCACCGCGCAGTCTGTGTGGTTGAACTTGGGAAGATGGGTGAACCAGATGTTGATAGCAAGATTACGCGGACCTGTTGAGGAAACGTGGTGGTACCACCCTGTGGGGATGAAAAGGCAGTCGCCTTTATCCATGGTGACTTCCGACCAAGGTATATTCCGAAAGCTTGGGAATTTTTCCATGTCAACTTTCTCAACATCCACAGAGCTATACCCGCCGTCTTCTCTGAAACCATCCTTTTCCACCAAATCTTTATACTTTTTATCAATAAATATCAGCCGCTTGGTTCCATCCATGAGACAGTTGATGTTGTCAATATCGTCGCTGTGCAGCACTGACTTAGTACCCCCGCTACTAAACCACAGCACAGCGTCCTGCAGGATTTTGGTGTAGCCACCACACAAGAGGGGCTTCGGGAGGTGAAACTCCTCCATCATTTTAGAACCCAAGCTGTAGACCATGTAGATATTGGCTTCTTTGTATAAATTTAGGAAGGTGGACATCGGCACACGCAGCATGCCTCCTTGCCGAGTCTCCTTCTTTCCCTTTTCAATGTCGATCTTGATATCCCCGTACTTATTCCGTAGATATTCATCGGTCCATAAGTTGAACGCTGGGATACCTTTAGCTTTCCCTTTAAATAGAAGTGGTTTGCCGGGTTTAATGTAGTTGTTGTAAAATGTCGCCGGGTCGGGCCAAAAGTCTTTGATGCCAATCGTTCCTTCCGCAGGCCGGTGAGACCCTAAATACTGTAAATGTCCAGGTATCTCCTCGGCAAAACAAATGGCCACGTGGCCAGCAAATAAGCAGAAAGCAGAGAAAATAACAACGTGCGACACAACTCCCATATTTTCTACTTGAATGTTGCCCTACCGGCTAGGAATACGTGTAATCTACCTGTACGTGTAGGCTCCTATATAGTGCTACCTGGTACAAATGCCTGATATGTCACACCTGAGTTCTTTTTTTCATTACATAGTCCAACAATTTGAGAACACAGTTTTATATAGTGGTTTTGTTCTCTGACATTGGGGCCACGGCTGTATCACTTCACTGGGTGACAGGGGTGAATTATTGTCATCTAAATGGCACATCCTCCATATTTTGAAACGAAAATGGGTTCAAATAACAACCACGCAACTTTTGTCAGCCCAAGTAGGACGGGTCCTTATCATCCAGAGCGGGTAGGTTAGGTTTGGTCCACTTGTTCCGCCTAAGCAAAAAAAAATCTTCAATTTGCTGTTGCACGTGATAATTGGTGGGANCCCCCCAAAAAAAAAAAAAAAAAAAAAAAAAAAAAAAAAAAAAAAAAAAAAAAAAATCTTCAATTTGTTGTTGCACGTGATAATTGGTGGGAATTCGATTAAATGCTTAAATTAAACCTTTGAAATTCTTTAAAGTGAACGAAAAGCCTTCATATTGCCTCTGTAGCACGTACGGTCTCCTTTGGTACAACATGTAGTAAGCATACAGTTTCATTATCAATATATTGGTCCATTTGAATAAGACATAAAAGTAAAAAATGAAGTTAACATATATTTGCGAATTTAAGGCTACTTTTTCTAAATCTCTGGTAACAGAAAGTGAAAATCTAGCTTTTTGTGAAATTATGGAAAATTCTAAAAAACCCATGCTTTGCTAATATGGGGAATTTTTCGACGGTTTCCTCTGTTTTATTAACAAAGGTTTTAAAAATAGCAGCCCTTTGGATAGTATTTGCAAGTTGTTTAAGCTAACAAAAATTAGACTGCGCTAAAGGGGTATTACGAGATGCACGTTTAATTTATTGATGATTTTTTTCTTCTATCCCAAGAATGTTTTTTCACAATGCTTGTATCTTTTAAGAGAATGTAGTTTTGCCGTGTTTCCTGTAAAACATTTAACTGTGCCCTGTCACCACATCGTCTAGCGAATCATGGATGTAACTAAATAGGCCTATAAGATTTTATTAAGGGCTAAAATATTACGAAAACATCAAACAACTAAAATTGGTGACCTGCTCCAAAAGACACAATTATTTATTATTATTTTTTTTTTCAATTTTAAAAAACCTGACGACATCGCGAAAGTAGACACAGGCTATTTAATGAGGTATTTAAAATAATTCTAGGGATTTTCTTAGACGTCAGACATCATAATCGCTTCCTGAGAAGTGGCAGATTTTCTACTTTAGTAAAAATCATAAAAGTAGAGACTAGATCGACTAGAGAATGTGAAATGGCGCTGTGAGCAACAGAAACGTTTAAAATGTAGTCCGTTTTTTCTGTGTGTGTATTTGTGAGAGAGAGCGAGTGAGAGAGAGAAAGAGAGAACCTAAATGACATAAATCTCTCTGTATCTGTAACTGGACTAGATTAATTGGGATCTTGCCTGTGACACTAAACGTGGTCTAATTCTTAATCTTATAACTTTATCGTAAAATGTCCCCTTCCCTTAAAGAAAAACGACTTTGTTCTTAATTACCCCAAACATTGGATTTTTCGAACCCTCACTCAAAACCTGATGAGGGGAAGTAGGCCTACCTAGTAGCGATGAGGACAGCAATTTTTTATTTATTTAATTTTTATTTATTTATTTATTTATTTATTTATTTTTTTTTTTTGAGGGGGTGGAGGTAAAGTGCAGGGTCTTATTGATGGAGTAACGATACGGGAAGGTACTGTACTGGAAAAGGAGATGGCTCATTTCTTGGAGGGGTCTGTTTTAAACGAGTTTTGGACATTAAAAAAAAGCATTCAATCGCTACAGGTGTGGGACAATCTTGTGAAAGTAGGCCTACTTTCCTGAACAAGGAGGCACTGGAAACGTTTAAGACAATTGTTTTATACAACGAGAATTATACACAAAAGTCAAATAACATGCTTATAAATTTAACGCTGCAACATTCCTGGTTTCCCCTAGGGCTACACATAGTGACATGTGCAAATCTCAGACATCTAGGCCTAGGCTAGCCTGCTAGGCAAACGTCAAACAAACGTGCAAAGAGGTTCTGTTTCAGATAATTCTTGATGGTGTGTCTGTTGTGTAATAGGTCTTTTTTTACAATATTGGCAGCAACCCCTGTAAAGCGGCATGTTTTATAGACGTTGTACTTGAGTGCTCGTGCTGTGTGCTTGCGGAGACATCTCTGGACATTTTATATTGGACGGGGGCTGTGTTGCCTCGATACGCCCCCTATCGGTAATATTTGATCAACTTACCTACATGAGAAATAAGTAAATGACTAATAATAACCATGGGGAAGAAACAGCATCAGAAAGACAAACTGTAAGTACAGAAAACAAATTTCTTGTTGTGTAGGTTTATTTTAGTTTTCGTCATGCAAAGACTGCACTGTGTTTAGCATTCGAAGAATCATGGCAAGAAATTGATTAAGTCAACTTTGTAGCTTCTGCATCTACAGTACACGGGTAGATGAAAATGTACAATAGGAATGCAATTATAAATAAATATAAATTATATTAAATAGTGATGTAGTATGACTACTTGCAAGAAAATATGCAAAACATATTTGACAGGGCCCAAGTGGCTCTAACTACTCAATTGCCAGTACACTTGTTGGAAATAGGTGCAGCACAGTCCCTTTTTTGGAAGCTAGGCTAACCATAAAAATATGGGAAGAGCAATCATATGTTCATTCCTTGTTTATTCCATCACTCAGCAGAAACTTTCCCTGCCTCAGTGTCTTATTATTTTGCTAAAGTTAGTTATACATTTTATTTATGTAAACAAGTTTGCTTTCAAATATAATAATTGTCTTACTTCCCTGATTTATTTAACACTTTTAAAATGTGGCGAGGTTCTCTAGGGGTGATAAATTAGATTATTTTTAGCATGCCCTTTTTGCAACATTAATTCTATCATGGTATTTATCTGTTAAAAAAGTACTAGACTTGCCCTACAAGAAATCGATGGAAAATAGCTCTTTTTCAATTTTGAATGGGCACTGTAGAAAACATATAACAGCTAAAGCTCTCAATTTAAGCACATATGTGTGATATCATGTGAAGAATAAGTTCTGTAAATTTCAATCCAAGCAGTTGAGTACATTTTGAGACAGAACGCTTTAAATGTGCAGCAAACCGTAACGCTTATCCCTTCAAGATCTCGACGAAAACCGGAAGTGCGTCATGACGTCACTCGCTTCTACTTGGAAAGCTGCTGGGTGATTTTCCGATGAGAAATATTTCGTGGCTCATACAAATGTTCGGAAAATGACCATGCAGATAAAAGAAAATTCACTAATCAAAATTGAAACTGCGTAATTACATAGAAAAACATTGTGCATTCCTGACCTCGACTTGTCAGTGTAAACAAAGTGTACTGAACGCATCGCAAGCAAGCACGTGAATGCCGCGTTTGATACTTTGTATCAGACGCTTCGTTTTACTTGACAACACAGTGTTTACGATGGGCATGACAGGAAAAACAGTGCAAAAAACACGCACTTCCGGTTTTCGTCGATTTCTTGAAGGCGTCGATTTCTTGAAGGGCGAGTCTACGTGTCTTTGGCTAAGTGCAACAAGAAGTGGTTTATGTACTTCTAAGTAAAAACGTGTATTTGAAACCTTACCAGTGTGACTTTAAATGATGCTCTAACTAAGTTCATATAACTCCAGAGTACAACATAATACATGAGTGAGACATGATTTTATGACAAGCCAGCATTTAACACATTAGGTGATGGCCAGTGGAAAAAAATAGATGAATTGATAGATAAAAATTCTATTTCTAACTCTGGCTAGGTACCTAACTTGTACTGAGTGGACGCATCTGTATGGTGGACATAAAGGAGGGAAGGAAGGAGAAAAAGCAAAGTTCAGAAGACTACCATTCCACTGTTGCAGGTACTGTCAGGTTTAATAGTTGTATTGTAAAATATCATGGATAAAATCAATTTCTTGCTCTCAGTGTATATATATGTATCAGTGTACACATACCACTGTTAATGTAGCTCCACAATTGACTGCAATTAAAGGATAAAACCATATTATAAATATTTATTTAGATTGTACTCAGTGCATCTTATAAATGTGCGTGGTTCTGCTCCAGCTTATCCTTACAACCATTTGAACATCCATTATGCACAAAAGAAGGGGTGATATTCGACTTAATGTAAGTAGAATAATTATCGTATATTCAATACCTAAAGTTTTTTTACCTATTATAAACTCAGTTTATGAGATTAACTGGTTTAAATGTTAAAATGCACACAATATACACTTTTCCATGATAACTTTAACTAAAAGAAAATATTACAATTAGTGAACTTCAAGAAAATAACATGAACTCTTTTAATTCAAAGAAGTGAGGTTTAACCATTAATGTAATGTTTCCCATTGCATGTTGTAGGAATATTGTTCCATTCTTGAAGAAGTACAAAGTGAGCCCTGTTACCGGAAAGGTTGGTTATGATGGCCTATATTGTTTTTCAACTTTATTTTAATAAGCATTCAGTAGATACCTCAAAAGTGAAAAAAAAGTGAAATAGTTTATGGTTTTTCATCATTTATAAAACCAACCCAAAAAAGACAAAACTGTCGTACTCAAAAATTAAAATTTAACATTTTGGGTAACTAGTTAAATATATTGATGGTGATTTTCTTCCTTCCAGCCTATGTCTGCCAAGGAGCTGATAAAACTCAATTTTTACAAAAACAGTGAAGGTGAGTTTATTTTTAGTTACCATATGTGTGTCCTTTTGTAAACATGTATGTCAAACATTAAATATCAAATGTATTGGTGACAAATTGTTTGATACATATACAGTATCTATGATCTGTGATTTGTATTATGTATATGTTCCAGATAAATACCACTGCCCAGTAACATTCAAGGTGTTCAACGAAAACTCACACATTGTTGCTATTAAGCCAACTGGAAATGTGTTTTCATATGATGTGAGCTATTTACAACTTTTATTTGTATATTTTGATTTTTTTGTCTTCTTCCTACATGTTCAAATGTGTTATTCAAACTATATTAGAAGACTTAGTGCATAGTTTGTATTTTCTTTGTCATTTAGAAAAATAAATACATTAAATGCTTAATTTGTTATTCAATATCATACAAGTGTAATTAATTTTCTGGCTGTTTGCTTTGCAGGCAGTAGAAAGACTGAATCTCAAAACAGGACATTTAAAGGACTTGATCAATGATGAGCCCTTCACAAGAGCTGATATAATCACAATACAAGTATGTCAGTGCATTGCTAAACTTCAGAAGTCTTTGATATGAACAACCAGTTTGTACAGTATGTGGCAAATGTAAATGCTATGCAGTGAACAAAGGATTCTAAAAGATAAAAAGTATAAAAGGAGAATTGTGAAGTCTTGAGCTTCTAATTTAATCAGATATATGTAGTGAATATTGTTCACTTTGCACAAAATGTATGTTTTTGTTCATTGATAGGAGAAGTTGTCAAGACAAAAAACTATGAGAGCTCCCATCATCAGCCCTTGATGATTTTTATGTTAATTTTGAAAAATACTATTACAGGACCCTACTAATCTGGACAAATTTAATTTGGCAAACTTCTATCATTTGAAAAATAATGTCAAGGTGGAAGATGAGGGTAAGTGCTTTGTCTTGAATACTCATACATGAGATTTTATCATATCTAATTGAAGGAGCTGTTTTAAGTCCTCTAACTTATTGCAAGGTAATTTCTCTTCTAATTTTTGCATCAGGTCTAAGTTGTTGACAAATGCAGTATATTTTCTAAGAATTTAAAGCTTTTCTTATCATTTACTTTTATTCGTTTTAGATGAAGTCCTTGCCAGAAAAGATCCTAAATTTCACCTGAAATCCATAAATGCTGAAACTAGAGATGTCTTGAATACATTAGATAAAGAATATAAAGCACCAGTAAGTGCACATCATAAGAAGAGAATCTAATATAACCTAAGATATGTCAGTCTATAGCCAATAGATGAAAAGGCTAAGGAATTCCTTATTGAAATAAATGTGTATATTTAACCCAAAAATGTTTTTTTCTGTCCTGTTTGAAATGTAAAATTGATATTTTCATTTCAGGAGAAAACAGTTGTGGAAAAGAAAGTTGCTGACAAGTTCAATGCTGTAAGTACATTATTTGTGTATGTGGCTTTCAGACAAGACTAATCTGTGAATCTAAATACACATCTTTTGCTGCTTATCATGAGTTTTTTGTGCAGCAGTCAATATTTCATCTAAGTGGACTACAGATTTTTCTTTTCACATCAAAGTGGACTAATGCTATTTGTGAAAACAGGGCATGTTGTTTTTCTTTCTAGGCATCTTATTCCACAGGCAGGGTTGCCGCATCATTCACATCTACAGCTATGGACCCCGAAACCAGACATGAAGCAGGTTTGTGCTCACCATTTACAGACATATTAAAAGGAAACCAATTCATGTAATGTGATTAACCTGTTTATCAATTTATTAGGATGTTTGAATTGTAGCAGTTAGAAGCTGTTGTGTTATGCTCATTCTGATAAATGCATTTCTTGAGATCATATATATATATAATCCCACATAATCATTGGTTGTTATTTATTTGTTTATTTATTTTTAGCTTTAATTGATGAAGATATAATAAAATATGAGCGTGTTAAAAAGAAGGGGTATGTGCGTCTGGTTACCAGTAAGGGAGTACTTAACTTAGAGTTGCACTGTGAAATGGTAAGATTTGGCTGCAGTTTTGTTAAACGATGAAACCTAAATGCAAAATTATCCCTTCAGCCATCAGGAACTGAATTTTGAATCCTTCATCTCTGTCTGTGAGAATAGCTGCCAGGCTAAGGACTAGTACAGTTGCCATAGGTTTGGTTAAATAATAGACATTTTTAAAGTTAATTTAGTTCAGTCAGCTAAGTGGAAAACTAAGTAGTTGTTTTGAGTAATTTTTCCAATATCCAAACCCTTCGCCTTCAAACAAGTAGTTTTCTATTGCCTACAGTACTAGTCCAAGTAACTGGTTGTCTGAAACCTTAAACCATCATTTTCATTGTTGAAGCTCAGAATGGAATTTTGAATCTAAGGATTTTTAACCAACACTTATGTTTCATTAAGGTTCCAAAGACATGTGAGAACTTCATGAAGCACTGTGCTAGTGGATATTACAAAGGAACAACATTCCACAGATCTATCAGAAATTTTATGGTTAGTATGAAAAATAACTAACAATTGCTTCTTGGGGAAATTTGTTTCACCTTTGGTTTATAATTACAGATTTTCCTGTAGTTAGAAGATATCAGATTTCTTAATTGATTTTTTTCTTTTTATTCTTATATTTATTTGTTTTAAGCGGGAAAAGAGTTTTATCCAAGTAATTTTGTAATTAGTTTCACATTTATTTGCTATTATCAGTACAAGAAATTGGGAAGCATAAATTCTATAACTTGTGGTGTTCTGATTTTAGATTCAGGGAGGAGACCCCACAGGAACAGGCAAAGGTAGGTGGTAAAAATAAATATAGATTTTCTAATCATTCATATATATATATACCATGGTGTTTTACTGACATAGATGCTGTGCATCCATATTCCAGTGAAGACTGTTTGGAGTAATATATGTTAACAGAAGAGCACATTTTAACCACCATATGTTAACAGAATACGATGTATTTCTTTATTTTTTCTGGCAGTGTTAACTGAAAATGATGTGTTTTATGTAAAGTGTTATGGCAAGTGCTTTATGTAAAAGGATATTTCTCATATATTGTGAAAAACTTAAGACTCATTTTTGGCCTATTTTAAACCATTGCATTAATTCTTTCTGACATAAATGCAGTGATTCATGATGAAATGTTTCTTAATGGTCACAGGTGGAGAATCTGTATGGGGTGGAGCCTTCAAGGATGAATTCAAGCCTAATCTAACTCATTCAGGGAGAGGTGTACTCAGCATGGCAAACTCTGGCCCCAACACCAACAAATCTCAATTGTAAGTACTCCCTTAAATAAAACATGGCCACAGTTGGCTCTGGAAACCATGGGGTCTTTGTTTCAGAACCCTGTGCAGTAAATGTTTATACCTGCATGTTTGAAATTTGGCACGGTTGTACTGAAGGGTGATCTTAGTAATGGTACATGTGGTTTACCCGCGACGCATCATTTATTTATTTATTTATTTATCATTATTTTTTTATTTGGAGCCATGTCTTAAACTTTGGCATGGTGTTGTACCAATTCTCGCATGTTTTCAACCATTAGTCATCAGAGATTGTGCATGTTCTGTTTATTTCATAATATTACATGACTGCATTTAGTTATGTGAGGTGGAGTGTAAGCTTTCCTAAGTCTGTCCTAAGTATAAGCAGTACATTCTAGAGATACAATGAGGTAGATCAATATGCTGACTAATTTGTTGAGATGAAAAGTAACAGAAAGATTTCAGATCCAGAAAATGTCACCATGACTGGAAGCATTAGTTTCACTCTTGTTGTATAAAAACTAACAATGATTGTGGTCCCTTTTTCTTTTTCAGTTTTATAACCTTCAGATCTTGTAGGCACTTAGATCAGAAACATGCAGTATTTGGAAGGTAGGCTGTTTTATCCTGAAACTGGGCAATTTTCAGTTCTCACTTTATACTGAGTTTTAAAACATGTTCTAATGTACTCTGTGTCACATTTCACAGTGGTAAAAATACTGTCAGTTTTATAAACATTTATCCGGAGTTTATAATTTAACCTGATTGTTTATAAATAACCCCCACCCCACCCGGGTAGATAGATTTACATCACCCTACAACTCACAGTGGTTAACAAATGTTATTGTATATAAAACAAGTATTTCAATAGCATTATTGATATTAAAAGTGATTTGTTGAGATTTGAAATATTGACCTTGACTGTGATGTTATACAGCTTGAAATTGAAAATTTGGTTTGTTTTCCCATGCTAGGGAGTGTACTATCACCATAATTCCTTATTTCTAACTGCATGCCTAATTGAAAGGCACAATTGTCACCGGCTACCCTACGACCAGCACAATATTGCCCAATTGTATATCTTAGCATTTTTGATAAATGATCAAATGTCAATCTTGTAAATTTTTTGAATACTATAATAATATAATAATAATAATTTATTGAGCATTAAAATGTGTACAGTTATATTTTACAAGCTCTCTAAACTACAATTTTACATAAATTAGCACATAAGCTTAAATAAGTATAATTACTTTAGATCATTATAATACCAAAATACATATATGCCAACTACTTCAGACATATAGCTCACAATAGTAAGACACAATCTTAAAATGTCAAGTTTTATTCAGTGAACTCGTATTTATGATCAGAGGTTTAAAATCAATTGGAAACTCACCTGGAGCTGGAGTGGGCCTTTTTGTGAAAAATATAGAACCCAGAATGACTAATTAAGTAGACTCTTTTGGGTGAATAGTTTTGTTTACGTGATTGTTTAAAATGCCAACTATTATATTTCAGGGTTGTTGGTGGTTTGGATACATTAGATGCCATGGAGAAAGTAGACACTGATAAAAATGACCGACCAGTGGTGAGTGCTCTTGGTTAGCTTGGGATTTGTCTTTCTCTGTTTGAATTTATTGGTCTATCAGTTTATAATAAGCTTGTTAATTTTTAGGTCATCAGTTTATCGTTACCAAGATATTCTATTCAGTTGTAATTAAACTATTTTTAAACAATGTTATCATGGATTGTACATTTCATTGCAGGAGGAAATAAAACTGATCAGCTGTACTGTCTTTGTAAACCCCTACCAGGAGGCAGAAGAGCAGGTGGGAAAAAATTTTTTTATCAAACTGAACTGCATTCATCGTTATTCACTCGTTAAAATGTTTTGTCAAAATGAATTGATGCTGTCAAATTTAAAGGTGCCTTTGGGAAGTGAAAGAAGTTTTTCTTTTGTTGTTGTTGTTGTTTGGCATTTTGCATTATATGATATTTTTAATTAAGTCATCTTTTGTGGTAGCTTGCTAAAGAGAGAGAGATGGAGTTAGCCCGGGAAAAGGAGGAACAAGCTAAGCTAAAACAGAGATTTCAGCCAAAGAAAAAAGAAGATGGTCCAAAAGTGTACAGGGAAGGAGTAGGAAAATACATAAGCACTGAGTGAGTATGCATCGCTATTCAGTTATCAGGGAACAAAAGCAATATTGATATTTGTATTAGAGAACACAGCTTTATCAACTTGATAAAGGACAGACAAGTAATTTAAACCTTCTGATTGGTTTCTTTTATGTTATTAAAATATTGTTTCTGGTAAAGAACTGCAAGTTTACTTTTTATCCATTCTAGAAAGCGAGATATGGATGAAACAGATAATTTGGAACCAGTCAGAAAGAAAAGCAAAGGAAAGACTGGTTTTGGAGATTTTTCTTCATGGTGACTGTTATTAAATGAAGTCAAGGGAATATTTTACAGAATTTTTGAGTGAACAGGTTCTTAGGCAAGGAAGCCTCACTGTGAGCCAGGTGGTGGTTGAACTGGTTTGAAGATTATTTTTTGAAGTTGCATTTGTAAGGATAAATATTTTGTGATGGAAACATTTTATATTTTTACAATTTATTCATTTGAAAGGAACTGACACAATGTTGACTTGGTTCATGCTGTTTTCAACATAAACTGGTTTAGCAAATTTTAAGCCACTTATTGTGATTATGGCATATTTGCTTGGAGCCTTTAAGATATTTTAAGCCTTTTAGATGCAGGATCATTTATTATTTACCAAATGAAAAATAGGGAAAGAAGTATGTGAATAAACTTCAACAAGTTGAGAATGTGTGAGATTTATTTATCACAATATCACCATCTGACACAGGTTTTCATCCATTTACAATATGTCACTTGTCAGATAAAAAAAAAAATCAGGTGTATATAAATCAAAAAAATATTTCACTACAAATCAAGCTTTGGCCTGCATTTAATAAGGATTTGGCCATTTAGCAGAAACTCTTTAGATTATTAGTTTTATTATAAGTATTGTTTTTTACATTACTTGTATAGTCTAAATGGCATGTAAAATATATACATGGCTGATGTACCTCCGCATACATTTCTTCAAAAGAAGCAGTTTATTTCAGGGAAGTACTAGTAAATCCGCTAAAGATGCCAAAGGTGAATCGCTTCTTTTGTCACATGTGATAAATATGATATAATTAATTCCTGCCATAATAATTATTTGTGAGCCTCTCATTTAACAATAAATAATGTCATTGGGCAGATTCATCATTAAATTTGACCTGCAGGAAGGTCTAATGTGCTGTATTACACATTTATCACATGTGATAACAAAAGGCAATGACCTGCATGGCCCCCTGCACCTCCCCATAACAACAGCTAAGGAAATGACCTAAAGAATTGTTATCAAAGTATGGCACAGCCACTTTTTCTTTGGAAGGTAATAACAAATTATTTAAATTCTAGTTTTTGCTACCTTAAATAACTGAAATAAGACAAATATTACCAAAGTAACTCATTTTTCTGACAAATTTGGGGTCCATAATTTTTTCTTTTGCCAAACAGCATAAGTTTTCAGATCTTTTTTTTATAAAATAGATGGACATAATGTCTTATACTTCTGATTTTCTACTTCCAGTTTACATCTAAATTTGCTAATAATCCTATCATCTGAATCTCAGACAAAAGTCACAACAATTGCAAGGAGTCTCAGAGATGTACTTCCACATTGAAATGTAGATGTCTCTACACTGTGATGATAAAAGTAAAATAATGAGAATGCACTGATCACAATGTCTGCTCCTATATCAGTTATTAAATGTCTAGTATCCTCCTCTTCATGTTTCCATTGTACCTCGGACGTTGCCAACATTTCGTTGCTAAAAAGTTGAAACGGCACAATATTTAACAGATACAAATTTTTAATTAATTTCACATACATTTTTTAAAATAAGTGGCAGTCAGTGAATATTCAATTAATTGGTGAGGAACAATGTCCTCAATAACATATATTTCAAAATGCTGGAGAGCAAAGGATTGACCTCCATTGAGTAGATTACGTTTTTTAGATTGACAGTTCTGGCGTTTTGTTTCTTTTACACACAGTATACTTGGCCCACTAAAGTGGCATTAAGACAGCCAAGATAATCTGTGCCTGTATTATAATGAGTGTGCGGTGTGCAAAAGGGACAAAATATTAATCTACTCGAGATACTTCCATCTTGGGAGTGCAACTCCCTTGAGAAGGCCTGAAGAAGAACCATACCTCAAATAAAAAGATAAACATATATCAGAGAGCAACTGTACCTTATCCAACTCTTCTTTAGTCTTCTGTTCTATTGCGCGTATATCTTCCATTGTCATTCCATGCCATTTATCAATCCAACAAAATACTTGACGATGGAAGTTTGTAAATATCCTTCTCTCAGACTAAAAGCATATGAAAAAAAAAGCCATGTAAGAGAAGTCAACTTAACAAACTGGGGGAAATAAAATTATTAAAAAACGGATAAACTACAAAAAAATAAACAAATTATATTTATTTATTTATTTATTTATTTTGCAACTTAAATTGGCCTTTATTAGCAAAGTCAGCAATGACCTTCACCTACCTTCTGAATGAATTTTTCTATTTTGTTTTGGAGACCCCACCATTTAAAGTGACATGTAACTAGCTTGTAAGCACACATCACTGGCTCTGTAGTATTCTGGAATTAAAAAATCCAAATTAGACACTTTTTTCACTGATCTGTTGTGTTGGATGGTCTTAATACCAAAATTCAAAAGTGTGCTAATCTGGACTCCTAGGAAAGTGGCCACCATCTGCTGGATGGAATATATAGTCTTTATTATAACAAGACATACTGTCTTAATTTTTTTTTTAAACTACACTCATACACCGTTTTACTCACAATCCAATTTTTATCGAGTAGACCTCTTCCTGTTTTTTCTGACTTAAATTTAGCTGGATCCTCATCTGCTTTGTAATCCTGCAAAATGTTTTTTAAAAATCAGTAGCTAAATACAGAAAGTCTTCCATAGCAATGTTATGGTTATAATACTGGCATCACATCCCATTAAAATCACCAAGTTAGCTTAACTACCAGATTGAGTAATGAACACACTTTTTCTACTACAACTAAAACCAACTATCCATTGTTAACAATGTCTAAGGTAGACTTTGTGCAACTGTGTATATGAAGTGGCAATACAGGAATATACATATATTGGATTTTCTTTGAATATGGACTGTATGTCATGCTACAAGTACTACAATGTATTATCATGCTGGCTGCTGGTATGGTTATTACAATTTTTATTATAGATGTGCTGCATGATAAATAAATGATAAATCTCATTCTGAATGTTATACCAATGTAATGTCATTATGGGTATTGGAAGCCTTTATTATCATCCAAATACCTAAAATTAGGTTTTTCCTGCATCTTATTATTCAATAATATATGTCCCTTGACAAAGGCTTACAATATCCTTTTGGCAAAGGCTAACAATATCCTTAATACAAACCAAAGTATTAAACCAAGTACTATTTATGTAATTAACAGTGCTCCAGAGAGGGCAAGTGCCTGAAAACAGTTTATGTCAAGCCTGGCATTAACATTCAGAACATGAAATGAGACATTCTGTAAGAGTACATATTTGTCATAAGGATTGCATTAATATCTGCATTACAATAGCAAACTGCCTTACCTGTCTGGAAACCTCATCATTTGCTATGTCTATGCGTATTATTTCACGCTGCGCAAGCAATTCATCTGGTAAGTTATGAGGCTGTAAAAGACCAAGAAAAAAAGTTGTTTTGAGTAGTATCTAAATATCAATGCTACAAAACATAGAAATGTTACACTGGTCTCCACATCAATTATTTCATGCATCTTATCTATGTGACTGCTTTTTGTGACAATCTTTATGACAATTTATAAAATATTTTTACTGGCTAATAGTGGCTAAAGTAAATATTCCACAAAAGCTTAGTCATATGAATATTAAGACTTTATAAAACACTATAAAATCAAACTGAGTTTCTAAATACTCACATTATGAGATTCTCCCCTGTCTGGCAAATGTATAGACTCAATCTTGATAAAAAAATTTTCCTTCATATAATCATTCTAAAAAATGAAAACAAATATAACAAATATTTAAACCATACTTGTAACAAAGTCAAAAATAAAACAGCTAAGCCGTAAATAAACAGACATATTCATGTCAAATCTGACGGGAGCAGTTACTGTCTAAAAATGACAAACAACCTATTTAACAATGAAAATGCATTCAGCATTTTTTCATTAATTTTGATGCAATAATACACAATTCTTTACAGCATGATCACCACCATTTTTAATTATGTATTACTTTCACTGTTGATATTCAACAAATTATACTAGCAAAGGTCAAACAAAAATAAAGGCATCATGATTCAGGCCAGTAGCCAGCAATTTCAAACGGGGGGGGGGGGGGGGGGGGGGGTGTCTTTTTTTTTTCAGAAAAATTGAATCTTTTTCTTTGAAAGCTTTGTGTAAGTAGATCAAATTTTATCCAGAGCATACTTTTTCTGGCTAATATATAACCTGAGACTTTTTTTTTAAATGTTAAGACATCCTTCAATTAAATACATAAAACATAGGTTACTTGCCGTGACTACAGTCCTGCAGTAAGGAAAAGCATTCCATGCCTTCTCATGAAATTCCAATGAGCCCTGTGGTGCCAGTAAGCGGATGAAACGAGGAACTTTACTGGAAATAGTGAAAGGCATGATACTGTACATTTCAAGATGATTACATATTGCAAATGTAAATGCTTAGCATTCCCAGAAATCTTTACACAAAGTAAACACCAAATTGGACACAACATGATCACTACATGTTCTTTACTGCTAGTGTAGCTACTTAGTGGCCACCTGATCCCAACTACTGGAGAGAAAGATTGCTGCATATACAGGTAAACAATGCATGACTGTGTGTGACATTATTGACAGGATTATGGTACACATCTTGACTAATATAATTTTAACCAGTGACAATGGATTGTTTGTTATTTCTACATAATAATGCTTAGCAATACACTTACATGGTTTAATGCTTATCTTATTATAACAATAAGTACTGCAACCTGGTGCCAGGAATTTTGTGGTAAAATTTTTGTGGTAAAACTTACTATCATAATGTACTATTTTGAGAAATTTAAACCTTATATTTAACACTATTCCTACTGTAGCTTTTATCTACCTAAAGAAATGAGATTTTACTCTTTTACTTTTAACAAAATGATGTAATCAAAATATTGGGGGGGGGGGAGAAGTCATATTTTCTGACTTTTCAGTAAATGGTAGTCTCATCCCTGCTTTGAAATAAACCAGCTGTTTGCAAATCCTGGTTTGAGATGCACCTGCTGAGAGGAAAGACAAACTGTCACATAATTTCAAAAGGTGCATCAGAAAAAAGGGGATTACTCTGCCATGTGATAATTACCAGCAGATCGATAGAAAGTCCAAAGGTGCCAGATGTTTGATGCAAGATATTCCCAGAACACCGTTTTCTTGGTATTTGGATGTAGTGATAGTTAATTTCCAGTGATGCTCTCACAGGAGCATGTCTTCAATTATTGCAATTTTTCTTCTTGTTTTGTGTATTCTATTTGCCTTTATCTATTATTCTAATTTATTGTCCCTTGTTTGTGAAGGTATGGATCAATAAAGCAATGCTATGTTAAACCTATCCAACTACATATCTATTTCAAGTCCTCCATTAAATGATGTAAATAGTTATAATGGGGTCAACTTTTTTCTTCAATTATATGAATCTTTGTTTCATCAAGAACTGGTCATAATTAAATAGAACCTCTTGTAAAGTTTGTAAGACAAAGGAGCTTTGGACATTTCTCTGGTCAGTCCTGTCCGTATAACATTACCAATTTGAAAAGATTTGATTTTTAGCTTGCTTTGCTGTAAGCACAAACACATAAATACAGAAATTAATCAATCATTTAATTGATTCCAATTCTGTGCCTTAAATGAGGTGTTCCTAGGAGATTCTGACAAAATCAATAACTGAATCTATCACACACGTAGGCTAGCCCAAAGTAATTTTCCCTTCCTTCATCTCACATGCCAGACAACTTCATTACTATTCAACATTACTTGCACTTTTACTATTATTTAATTGGTCAAAATAGATCACATTAGAAGAATTAGGGTGAAATTCTGGATACTCAGGCAATATTTTACTTGCCCTTCAGTTTTATATCTACATATACTACACTAACTACATATATACTTTTATTACAACTTCCATACCCTAAAATCAGAGGAATTCAACAACTGCTATTAGATCACTAAATCATAAAATATAAAGATAAATGATAATAATTTCAAATAAAATATTTTGATTGAAAATATCCCTTGTTTGTTAGTAAGCATCCAATTAATACATACATGATTAAATAATAATAAATACCATCTATTCCAAAATATTCTTTGGTGTTCAAGAAGATAATTTGATTAAAAAGTTGAGTATGTTGACGTACAAGATCAAAACTGAAAATGTGCTTGCAAGTAAAAATGAATTAATTCTCCTAGAATGCAGAATCTTAAGAAGTGTTCAGAAATCAACTTTTAGTTTAAAAACAGAAAATAATCATGAATGATATATCTGCTCTAATGTCCTGTCCTTCCATGTAAAACAATTTACAACTACACTCATTTGAAAATTAAGAATGGACAATCAATAGGATAATATTGATTATTGACATTTAACCCGCTTTGTGTGGCTGATGTATATGCTCATAGATAAAAATCCATTGTGAACTAGGAGTGCAAATGAGATTTGATAATCTGTTTATTAATAGTTATATAAGACAGTCATCAAATCTGGCCATTTTTAGTTTTGACTTCCTGCAACATAACTAGATTTTTTATTTACATTTGATTAGGGTGAAATCTTTATTCTATCATTTATATCAAAGGTAAATCTGGGCATCAAACATTCATGAAAGTGTTGTAGTATTAGTATGCCACTTACCTTGCTAAATGGTAGATTTTATGGGTGTACTGTCCATCACCAATCTTGGTATTATCATAAAGTACTTCAGAGCTATCTTGGTAAGGCTCATTAACCACAACTTCTATACCCTCTCCCCCTCCTGTCTCATTCTTACTCGCCTCAGCTACAGAGTACAGCTGTCCCACATGGTACTGAAATCAATATGTATCTATGTCATTCTGGATTCTTCTTTAATTGTTCAATTATAATTGATTTCAATCATTCTGCATTATGTTTATAATTAACATTTAATATAAATTCATTGTTACACAGCACATAACTTAACATAATGGCCCACCATTTGACAGTTTGCAAACAATCTAAGACTTTTTTCAAAGTCATATGTCTAGGAAATAAGTAATCAATGTGCTAGTTACAGAGATTTAAACCTACAGATATCCGATAAGAAGAGGAATCTGTCACTGTTTATTATCATATTTATCACGCATATTACTTCTATTTGCATCAAGACTGATAAGGCAGTACAATTTGACACAGTGCTACAGTGCAGAGTAAGGCACCTCGTGAAACTTCCACATGCTTCCACCTTGCAGACCAGAAGCAAACCAAGTTATTGATAAGGCCATGATTTTGCTGTCTCCCTTTGACCTTGATTCAAATTATAGATTAAAGTTAGTTATTTTTATACTTACTTTATTTCATACCTACTATTGAATTTCTCCAAACTAGAATTAACAATTCACTCTGCTAATTTTTTTCGATCGCGATCGACATTGATATAATAATTAACTTAGTACGAGTAATGGGTCAAATAAGATGTACTTCTGATAGTCCATATAGCACTCAAGTTTATAATTTTCTAACATCATTTTTTCTATCAGTTGAATATGGGAAATAAAAGCTCTTGTGAATGATAGGGATATAGATATAGAACCAAATATATATCCAATATACTGAACTGGTCATTAAATGTTCAATTCAAAAGGTACCGCTGCTGTAGGCAACATATAGAACATTATCATGATAGATAACAATCCATTAGAACCACCCAAAATGGCATAGCTAGATAATTTCCAGCTACTACGTTGGCCCCTTATTGTCCACATCATACAATGTTAACTTCACTTAATATAGACAGCAATTTGTTTACAGTAAAAGGTAAGATATGTTTTGGCTTTAAAATTCAATTATTGTCATTAATAATATTATCATTATTTTACTCACTTCATTATCCATTTGGTAAATTATTATATGACTAAAAACAAAAGGTCTGGGGGATCCCATAACATGCTATGCACTTCTGAATTACAATAAACCCCCCAACATAAGTGTTTTAAAAAACCATTAACTTGAAACACAATATGTACAATGTAGTAATACATCACATTTCAAGCTAAGTGAACCACAACATAAAAAACCTATTGAGCATATTCTGGGAAAATGCCCCACCCAAAAAATACTATATTTGCCAATGTACAAATTATTAAAAGTTAACATTCACACAAACCACAACAAAAATTCCAGTTAACTCTAAAACAGTAGCTATGGTAACATTAATGCTTTTTTTAAATATAACATTTATAAATAATAATCTTTATTTTTTCGAAACCATCCGTTTGGCCTTGGGTATAGATTTTCGGTAGGTATTTTTCAAAAAATAGATCAACCTAACTAATGTACCGGGTCAATATCATATGCATAATTCAATACCAAAACTTTTGAAATATTTCGAAGTCAATGCCAGTAAACAGTTACTATGGGAACTCGGTGACTTATTGATTCCAACACTCACCTCTTCCACTGAGAGGGGAAGTACAATGCGGCTGAAAAATAAACAACACAAAATTTTGATAGTTTAGAAATGAACATTTCACAAATAGAGCCAAATATCAATGTAGTATAACTGTGAAACAGTACCAGCAATTAAAGCACGCTCACACTAGCATCTATCTCACTCAGTGACTCACCGAATTCACTTCTTATTTCGCATTCATTCATTGTCAACTATTGTAAGATGTCTTAAGGGCTACCTTACTTGTTTTAAACCTAAACTGATACATTTTAATATCACTGTTTCATCAGGTTTAACTGAGATTGAAACAGCAACCGGCCACAATATAGTACTTACAATTCCTTGATTAACATCTTTCCTGCCTTTCACGGGGTGGAACAAATGACGTCATAAGCTGAGGGCTCTACGGGCAAACCGACTAAGGAAATTTTCAATTTATTTTGGAGAATGAATATCATCAATGTCACTTATGATAAGATAGGTAAATAATTTTAAAGAATATATTGAGTATTTAATTCTCTTTTGCACTAAATATTCCACTTAATCGTAATTCCGCATTTTTGTTCAGGTCAAAGTCCAAGCTTTTCTTCTCTCCGCGTAAAAGCCTCTGTTTAGATGACCTTATTTTTAATGTTAAAGTGAGTTTCATTTTTTAAGTTATTATTCAGTTGAATATCACTCTGAATATCACTTTGATACACTTATGGATGAATTAGATGCTGTGAAAACTCTTGCAACTCAGTATATGACCATTAAGTCTCATTAAGTATTGAGCTGGGTTTTTCTTGGATGCAGACGTAAACATGGCAGCTTCCGGTCTGGAGATGGTCACTTGTGCATTTTTCCTAGTTTTTGATGTGTTAGCAGTCTATGGAGGACGGAAATCACTTACTGAATCATGGCACAAGATCATTTTACGTGACAATACCTTGGTACATGCTTATTCTCGTTATTACGATTGGAATCTAACCAACTGGGTCAAGAGTTTGAGTGCCACATCACTTGCCTGACATTGGCTGACAAGATTTCAGCGAACCGTTTGCCTCTCTATCTGCAGCATTCCTATATATTTTTGAATAACATAACATAATGATATGACGTGCTTGCCATGAAGTCAAAAGTTAATTTATTTAACAGTGTGCATTAAAATGTAGCTGTTTGAAGTAATAAAGATACAATCCAAAAATATCCTTTTTTCAGTCAGATTGATAATATTTATTTTGTAATGTGCACAGTGCGTATAATTTTTTAATCAGTTTTAATATGTTGGGAACTTGAAAATGAGTACTCTTCTTTTTCACAGGTGAAACCAGAGCATATATCAGAGTTCAAACCAAGGGCATTTCCATACCACATTGTCAACAGGATACCCCCACCGGTTCTCTCCAGCAGTCAAAATGCACATTATGAAACATATCACAAACATAGAACTACTTTTATGAAAAGGAAAAGAGGTGCAATAATGAATCAATTACTTTTTAAACGTAGGACTAGGGATGTCAATTCAACTGAAGAACAAGTATCAAAGGGCTCTTTAAGACAAAGCAATGTTTCCAACTGGCAAATCTCCAATGATTCACAACCAGACCATAGTTTTGATAAGTCCAAGCAAATTAACATATCTAGTACTATAACAACTACAGTGGTCAGTCCAGTGCCATCCACCACAATTGCACTGACTGAAACCACCATTCCTGCAGCAATTTTGAATACTTCAACTCCTAAAACTGTGCCGGTAAAAACATTGACTAGTGCAATGGTAGTGCCAAGTACTCCAAACCATGCTACAGCGTTAAGGACAACAACTGAAGGCAGACCAACAGAAATTGAAATACACATACCTACAGTTAAACTAAATGCAAGTAGCACAGTACCCAGCAATTCCTCTCAGGGACTACACAAGTTCTTTTTCATTAAATATAGGTACAGTATGCTTCAACTTTTTACTGAAAAAAGCAAAACTAAGTTTTAAAGAACTAGATATTATAGATAATAAGGTAATTTGCAAATTACTTTTCTATTGAAAGCAAGTTTAGAACACTGATATAAAAGTAAAAAAAGACATTGCAGAATTTGTTCACATATCCTATTTTACAAGGTGATAACAGTCCAAAGAATTAGTTAGTACTTTTTCTTCTTAACCAGCATACCAAAATCTCGGGTAAAACATTTGCACCTATCGTAAAATGATTTTAAAAAATTTTATATTTTTTAATTCAGGAACAGAGATTCTTTTACCTCCACAGCCTGTTTAACTGGATTACTTATGTTACTGTTTGTTGGAGTGTGGTATACAAAAATGTGGCAAAAGAGAGTTATTCCATACGAAAATCATGATGAATCCATGAATTATGTCAGTGTCAGAGGTATGTGCAATTATATTTAACAAATAATAGCCTTGTAGCCAGTAGACCTGGGTTTTGAACCTTTCATAAAAAGCGAAGGTGAAAAGAACTTGCAATAAATTGGGACATGCTAGGTTTTAGATTAATATACCATTTTTTATTGTTTCTTAAAACATTTTGTTTTCTTTTATATTTAAAAGTCAATGACAGAAATGTTCACTTGTATTGTTAGGTTTGATAGGGTAAGTAAGATGTTCTTCATTGGCAGAAGAATAATGGATGTGTCCATCTACACACAACCAACTCAAAAAGTTTTCATCACCTCATAAGCATTCCCACTGGGTTTTCAATTTATTCTTTTATTATTATTTTAAAAAAATTTTTCCCACAATCTGATTTCATTTTCAAAAACATAAGGCTTTTGGTTTTCAGACTTGATATATCCTAAGATATATCCTAAGAAACCTAAAATAAGAGTATATTAGCACATTTTCCAGGTGGAGAGCATATTAAAATTTTATGTTACTCTAATTATGTCAGAGTTGCGTGTATGTGATAAATTTTGAATAAAGCAAGGTATATTTGTAATATTTTAGCTTTATTATATATTTCACATTTTCAGATATATACCAATTCCATATACACATATCTTAAAGCATTACAGAGATTTTTATAATGCTTAACTCGGCAAAAAAAAATAATAATTTCAGAAAATTTCAATAAATCTCTTGGGTTTTTTTTTTCAGATATTATAAAGAGCAAAGCCAGATTTCTGCCCATGTTCAGAAAGAAAGTCCGTTGGCTGAAAAGAAAGAAAAAAGGTCCAAAGGCAGCAATGAAACCACTCTTAGCAGCATCTTCTGACAGTGAAGAGGATCTCTATACACAGATCTGATACAGTGCCTTCCATTGGCAGTTCATGCTAATGGATATGGCCCATTAGATGATCTGCTTATAATGACTGTGATATTCTTCTACATGCAATAATCCATTTTGTGCAAAAAAGACGTTTTTCTTTCATTAGTCCCTATTACCTTAAAAACCATTGACATTCTAACAAAAACATTGAAATTACCATCTTCAAGGACATACCTCTGTCATATGCCTAAAATCCATGACAACTAGACAAAATCATAGTTTAAAATGCTTAAGAGACCATATATATATAGAATGAATATTTGTAATTAGGGCAGTGGACTGGAAAGAGATGATGGCAGGAACAGGTTTCATATGGGCTAGTTCCCTGCCATATTGCCATTATTTGTAAGAAACTTAATATTAAGATAATTTTGATAATTTAATGGCTATGGGAATATAGTATACAACTAACATTGTGGGAGTTACCTGTGATTGTCAGTTTTTTATCAGTCAAAATCCACTTTGTATGTCAAGTATTCAGAATCCATCTGAATTCAACATTTAGATTTTATTCATTTTAATTTACTGAAGGAAGCTGTAGTCAGGAGCTTGTGTATGCCTTTGCCCATCTCTATTGGATTAATTAATTGCGTGAATATCAATTTCCTTGGCCAAAAAGTTTGTTTTTTGCATAAAGATGGAAACCTAAAGTAATCCAACTTAAAGGTACACTCCATGAGATTAACCTGCCAAAACTGATTTTCCTGGGAAAATAAAGTTTTCTCCTGCCAGCGAGTCATTTATTGGTACCTCCCTGAACTTTGATACTGAAAAAAAAAAAACATTTTATGGGGTTGAATAAGTTTTAATGTTTAAGGTTTTATAAGCTGCGGATGGCAAAAAAAAAAGCATTTTGGGGATTTCCAAATCCATGGATTGTACCTTTAATATTTAAGGTTCATTTTCAAAATAATATTCCAAACTATTCAAATTTGATTCCAATGTAAAATCACATTAATTTTTTTTATTTGTGGGCAAGATTAACAATAATAAAACCTTAAAAAGATAAATGAAGTACAAGGTCATTAGTTTCATCAGAATGCATTTTATGCAGTACATGTTAATTTGATGTGCAATTAATATTCCATGATAACCATGTTCACAGGAAAGAAAATTGTTCATGGTGCTCTGTACATCACATTTCAAATGTATATATACATTTTTATTTGCAATAAACATTTAATTAATATAATTACTTTCTCTCAAATTTAGTGAGATTTATTCTATTAACTTATGTGTAGTCAGACATATATTTCAGTTGTAGGATTGATATTCAGTTTTACTACTACTTTAAATACAAACAGCTGACAAACAACTACTGAACACTAAAATTTAATACTGTCTTAAAATTCAGATCTATCACTTTTGTTATCAGCAATCTCCATTACTTCAGATATTGACTGCACTCCTGCAGAGGAAGTTTGAGAATAGTTGTCTTTTTCCTTAGCAGAATGTCTGCCTGACGCCTTGGATTTATTTTCTAGTTTTTCTTCAACGTGATCATTATCTTGTGAATAGCTTGCATGTGACCCTATCTCATATGGTGTCTGTCCATCCTGATAAGGAGAAGCTGCACTGGAATGCAATGGTGATTTAATGTCTTCAGATCTTTTCGACTGTGAACTTGTTCCTGATAGTGATTTGAGGACTTCCTTCACATCTTTTGACCTGCTACTCTGTGACTTCTCCGATTTAGATTTCCCTGATTTTTCAGACTTAGATTTCTCAGACCTCTTAGACTCGTCCTTCTCAAGGTTCTCCTTTTTTGAACTTTGATTGTGAGAACCAGCCGACTTGTCCAATTCACCCATGGACATCTTACCACTGAGACTAGAATGAGAAGACTTGCCTTTTGAGTCACCCTTGGATGAATGAGAATAGGTTGACACAGAGGTTGGGGATCTGTCTGTGTGTGACTGCTTCAAATACTCTTCATTTCTACTGCCCTCTTCAGTCGAGTTGTTGGGCCATTTAAATTGCTTTGCTTTTCTCTCTTGGCGTAGATCGTCATCTTGCTCTGCAGATTGCTTCTCCCCTTGGAAGTTGGGGTGTAGTTTTGACTGGACCTGCACCTCCTGACTTACTAGAGGTGGTCTGGTTACTGGTGGAGCAGCAAATTCTGTACTGAACACATAACCTGCTATCTCACTGTTGATGTTGTCCAGTTCCTGAGCAACTCCTTCTACACAGCTGTCCACAATCTCATCAGCAATGCTGAAATATTGTACAACAATTACATCTTAAATGTATGTGTTGTGTTGGATATATTAACAAAGTAGTAAGTGCAAGTCATGCACATATGTAAGAAAGTATAAAATATATAATTAGATTTTGTTAAATGTATTTTATGCAGATGAATAAAAAGTAACCATTTTTTAACTTAAAGAAAAGTGGTACAATGATATATCTTACTCCTCAACCAGTTTCCATGGGTCAAATTTACCAACAGCCTGGTGTGATACTCGTTTTAGATGCCTTTCAAACTGTTCTCTGTATTCTTTGATACTCTCCACCTGTTCTTGTGGCATATGCAACTTTACTTTGTTTATTGTTGGTGCTATCGAACCCTCCTTTTGTTCCCATGTCATCTGAGATAATCTATGTGCAGCATCTCTGTCTTGGGTTTTCTTGGTGAAGACGATAAGATCTTTTAGGTTGCTCCTCTCTGGAGTGCTGCTGAAAAGATGAATAAATATTCACATTAAGATTAAAAACACATTTAGTGTTTATAGCCAGGAAAAAGATAACAGTTCAATAAGTTGGAAGATTAATTTTGATCTAACTGAATAAAAACATTAAGATATGCTGGAAAAAGAGCCAAATTATTACTGCAGCATCATCATGCATCCTGATTGAAAAATCAATGCACTCTACATCCTGCACTAATGGGTTAAAAAAACAAACTAACTAACCTTTGCCTACGAGTCTGTGGTACAGGCTGCAGGAAAGCCATGGCCTGCCGTCTCTGTTGCTCCTGGTCAGACTTGCTGACATGAATAGGAACTGGGTGCTGTGGCAGCACAGGTACATCTTCTATAAGATAATCATTCTAGCTTCAGCATGCAAACACAATATAAGTAAATCTACATACTTCCTGTTCAGATTATGTTATTATGTTGTATTCTAGGTTAAAGTGGCAATTCTTAGATATCAAGCCTAGTGAAAAACGGTACTGAAAAACAGACAATCAAGCCTTTAATTGTATGGCAGTTACCTATTTCTTCTTCTCTAGAGGCTGCATCATTGTAATCAACTGTTGTCCATCTTCTCCTAATTTCGTCTCTTTCACTCTGAAAATGAATATCAGGTTATAGCATGGTAGAAGTGTCTGTGAAATAGGTACCTACATTTTTTACCCACATTGTACCTGAATTAGATTGATATTGGTTAAGTAATAAAAATTCGTGTAGCAAGTCCCTGGATATAGCTCATGCAGTATACTACACACACAGGTATAACAGCTTAACAGATGTGACACAAACCTCAATTTGTTCTAGCCTGTGAAGCATGCTTTCCAAGTTAGAGTGCCTTTGTCCTTCCATTTTTTTATTCGTTCTGATGTCCTCTAGTTCCTCTGCAGTATCACGGATAATATCACTCAAAATCATGTCACTCAAAATGTCAGTATTCACTTCCACCTAAAATGTCAACAACATCAACAACAAAAAAAATAATATTCTGGGTTGTTACAGTTAAAGTAACCCAAGTGCTTGTATATAACAAATCAACATTTGACCAAGTACTGAAAATAAAAGCTAGTGGCAATGGGGAAAACCTTTCATTCCTGAAGTCAGCCTTACCTGTTCTGTGATTTTGTCTGACAGCCGGTGTCTAAGAGACTGCTGACTTAACCTCTGCTCTGCTGCATGAGTTTCCGATATTTCCTCAGTGAGAGAAAATAATACAATTATCTCAAAAATCAATTAGAAAAATTTGAGGCACAGGAAAAACTGCTTGGACATCAACACATAAAACAACATCATTGTTATCAACAGCTTTCTAAATTAATATCAACCTTTTGTAATGAAATTGGCACGTCTAACTGGCAAGATCTGTTATAAAGTATAGCACCTATCTCTACCACAGTATAGATGTGTAGTGTTGATGTTTGCTTTTACTAGGCATGATGCTTCAGTTACCTGGGCTTGCTTTAGTAATGGCTGTAATCTTCTCCTAATTTCAGCCTCAGCTTCAGATACCAGTTCTCTTGCCTGTTGTCTTTCGGCTCTAATAAATAATAAGTTGGATGGTTCAGTGGCTTAAGAAACTTTCAGTAGTTTCCTACTTAAGTTCAAAACAAGTATTAAATGATAAGTAAACATCCCATAAATTTACCTGGTCTTTCTGAAGCGATCAAGCTCTAAGTGTCTGGCCATCTCTGTATTTCTGGTCTGCCTAGCAGCTTCTCTATCAAGCCACAGTTGTCTAGAAGTGAAAATATCCATCTAATTGAATGTTTTATTTCATCTGTGCAGTTTTTATTTTTTTAATGTTAGTGTGTGCTTCTAACAAAACCTTCTGAGACCAGAAATCATCTTAATTTGGGGAAGTGAATCTAAAGAAAACCAGACTGACAGTTGGTCTGGAGTTTTTGACCAATTCATTTTGTCTACTTTCACCCAAGACAAAGTAGACAATAGTAGTTTAGTACAATTATCAAATATTGCATCTGTCTTATTTCAAATTTAAAGGAATTGTTATTACTTCAGATCATTAACACTCTGATCTGAGTCAACGATTTAGGGTTTAATCCTGGAATGAAGTAGACCTGATATCAAATAACAAATTATTAAGGATCTTCTACTGCACCTTAGATCTTTTAAAACCAATATCAATCAATTTGTATATTTGGTGATATCAGTTGTGACCACAACTAATGACAAATTTAAACTGCCTGGTTTGTGGATAAATAACTATTCATCAAGTTACTTCCCCTAAGTCATAGGATTGCATGTTTGTCTTTACTTAAAATCAGAGCATACATATCAGAAGACAAGATCTGTAAAATGAAAATTATTTTCTTTCTGTTGAAGACAATTTGCTTCTGCAAGTGAATCGATCATGGTAGTACCTTCTAATTTCTCTTTCTCTGTATGGAGTCATTGGGTTTCTTAAAATTGGTCTTGGGCTTCTCTCATCCAGCCATGGCCTTCTCTCTCCTAATCGTGGACTCCTGTCTCCAATTCTGGGACTCCTGTCAGAAGACAGGCTTCTAGGTCTGGGATAGTCCGGATATTCTCCTCTGTGCATGTGTCTCTCTGGACTTGCTGGTGCACTTGAGCTTCTGTAAGAACAAAACATTAACACTTCATAGACAGAACAGTACAGGGCTACAAATAGTATCTAAGTCAAGAATAATATGTATATACCAATGCTCTTTAAGCAAATTCAGTGATACAACAAGAACATATTGATAGGACAAAAAAGAACACGTCCACTTCCTAAAATACTTTATCCATACCTAGGAGAATGTGCACTGCCTGTTCTATCCCTATACTGCCGAGGAGAGTGAACTACTTTGGCTCTAGATGCGTATGTGTGTTCAGCAAAATGTGCCTGGTTTAAAATTGGTGCTGCTTGATGCTGTGCCTGTATTCTCTGTGTCTGAAAAAAAAAACGGGACTGATAAAGAAAGTTATGAGTTGGGAGATTGACCTACATTTGACTATTTTTTACCACTGATATTCGGACTGCAACTGATGAAGCCTTCAACAGTCCCTCACAAACCTTTTCTATGAAGATTTTTGTTCAAACGCAACTTGCATAGTCCACCACAGCATATACAGATTGTTTAAATTTGGCAACTTACCTGAAGTTTAGACGGAAGCAGTACACTTTTCTTAACAGATCTTGTTTGACCTGCTCTCACTCCAGCACCTCTATCTCTTATATCAAAAGGAGCATTCCAAGTTTCACCACCAATACCAGTAATATCTTCTTCCCCAAGTCCTCTTCCTGACTGCTGCCATGGCCTTCTTTCATGACTTATAACTTCTTTCACTAGTGGATTTACTGGTCTTTGATCTCTGGCAGGATTATTTCTAGAAGCTCTTTCCAGGGCCTCAATGCCAGCTCTTAGAACTCTATCACGATCAGGGGTATCATCAACATCTATGGAAGTGATAATAAAGAGAGAGCTGTAGACTGCTTTAAGAGAAATGTTGTTTGACTATACTATAAACTAAACAATATTTAGGATGAGGTAGTATTCTGGAAAATGTTATACTGAACAATTTGAAGACTATTCTTAAACTATACTTAATGAGATTTCATAAGACAGTACACATTTTTAAAAGAGAGTAAGAAACTGCTTTACTTACCTCTCCATCTCATGTCTTGTCTTAGTCTTGCCACAGTGGCAGGTCCTATTCTGGCTGACATGGCCTCTTCTTCTCAAAAAGACAAAAAAATATCAAGTTTGATATGGTATTGGCTATTGCACAGTTTCTTTGCTACTAATATCCATAACATTATAATATCCAATTCATGTTATGTTTGTTTGAAGGTATGTTTGGAAAACACAGAAGGTGCTGAGTAGCTGCATTTACCTGGAAACAACTGCCTACTGACAGGAGAAATTTGTTTCTCAGACTGATCGCGTAATGCTCGCCTTGCCTTTGGAGACAGTGGGGAAGACTGGAGTTCTTTTTCAATAGACTCATTTAAATCCTAAAAGAAAAAAAAAACTTTAAGCCACATTGTTCTGATATCAATACTACCACAAAGAGGACATACAATTAAACATTGTGAATAAAGTTGTGCAATTCAAATTCCATTCATATTTCGTTTCTTTACTGACTTGTCATTTCTAAAGTCAGTAAATAAAACTTGACCGCTATAAACTCATTCACTTGTTTTTCTTGCTCGGTGAAGTGTTAGACAAAAATGACAAAATTCCATTCATATCTTGGCGAATACTTTGTAAAAAAGCATTAGCAGACCTTAAAGCACACTTGGAAGCAATAATCAATGTAATATTACCCCTGCTTGACCCAGTATGTTCTTGACCACATCTGGCACCCCAGACTCTCCTCCAACTTCAAGCTCTGCACAGCAAAGTGAAAGCTGTCGTATCAGCAGGGCAAGTTCTTGATACAGTTTTGGCATGCCATGACGGGTTTCTTCTTCAGGTAGATGATTTACATAGGCCTGTATAGCCTTCACCGCACCACGGTGAGCTGCAGCAAGACGATGGAGTGTCCGGCTCTAGAACCCAACAACCAATAGGTAAATTTCATCATATCATATTGATCAAATTAGTATATATCCATTCTTATCTTATTTTGTATCTTTTTTCTATTATTAATATATATCTTACTAATTTGTTTCTTTGTTTGTTTATTTACACATTTTATTTATTTATTTATTTTTCATGCTTCAAATATTAGCTTTTTATATTTACTTATACACCATACCTTTTTATTGTGTTTCACTTTTTCTGGTCCTATCCTAGAAAGCTCTTCTTGGATCTCTCTCACTTGTTGTTGAAGTACATAAAGCATTCTGGAAGTACGAGAAGCACGTTCTCCTTCTCTCTTAGCTCGTCTTTGTTCATCCACATCATCTGTCTTTTCTACATGTGGTGCGACATTCTCTGAAAAAAACACCATGTAAATCAGTGAGATGACAACTTGAACACATCACAAAAGGATAAAATTCAATATTCAAAATAAACTGCATTCAAATCAAAATTGTTTGAATTAATCTGAGTTTATAACAGTTTATAAATAATGTTACTAGATTTCAAACTACAACATAAATGTTTCACTTTTTACATCAAGTCCTAATGTCTCAAAAATAAAATATAATTCTACAATTTCCCTTTACAGATTTGACATAAACAACAATACCAAACCAGTGACTTATTTCATTAATGGCATATATTAACCTACCATTCCGATTCTCACTTTTCCTAATCTGTTCCATGTATCTCTGTAATTCAGTTCTTAGCCTACTTATTTCCTGTGCATGTCGAGCACTTGGAGATACCATAGGAACATAGCCATCAGTGTCTCGTGTAGGTGGGGACTGTGTTGATACTGTAAAATCAACTCCAACTTTTGGTTATCAGACATTAAAAGAAGCATTTTCTTGACAACTATACTGTGGACCTGTATATTTATATTCAAACTGCTTTTCATGATTGCTATAACTGTTCAAATTTGAAAATATCAAATATCATAATAAGTCAAAAAAGTATTTTTCTTACTTGACAATTTATTACAACATAACTGACTAGTTATCTTACCTGGCAAAGATTTTTTGCCCATGTGAACAATAATATTTGGGACAGCATCATCTGTCGTTTTCTTTACTTTAGAACGTGTTTGTATTTTAGCCTGTTTCACACTTTTGTTCTTTGCATCTTTTTCTCGCAGTACAAGTGGCTTTTCATTAACATCATCTTGTCTAGATTGTACTTTTTCTCTATATTCTTTGCTCTTTTTAACTTTGACCTTAGGAATCTGTGTTTTCTGAGCTTTCTCTGTCTGTTTTGCCTCATGTGCCAAACTAGAGAGATAAAACTGTTCCTCAATTTTTTTCTTTTTCAAATCCCTTTTAGCAAGTCTCACTGCTGCAGTCAAACTGTCTTCTGACACCACAGAAAACTTGAAAGCTGAAGCAGGCTGAATTGGTGGTGTGGCTGTGGTCAACAGTGGAGGCCTCCTGGGAGGACTGGAGGATAGTTTTTCAACCACAATTGCCTCTGGCTTCTGAAATCTCATAGCCAGATTAGATGCCACAGGTGGAACATTTAGGTTGAACTGCAGTTGGTTCTTAAAGTGACTTACTGCTGCCATTTTTTACGTCAACTCTTATCTGAAAATGAAAACAAAATACAATACAATAATTGCATTTGGCTGAGGACAAGTTGTTTTGCTGATCTTAGAGAAATGATATCGACTGAGGCACAGCAAAACATATTGACCTAATGCCAAAGTTGATATGTGGTTCATTATAAACTTTTATACAGTGTTGTCATTACACAAATTTATGTGGAGCAAATGAAAATAAATAACACCAATTTTCTATGTCAGAATTTATATTTTAATGATATCATAAGAATGGGACAATGCAACTTTGCATCAATGTTAAGTTGTCACCCATGCATGGCTCATGGCTAGTTACAACATTACATAACAATAGGGTTGGGGTGTCAAAGGTAGATGTTATGTTTTTTGATTATTTCAGAGGAATAGATATGTATTAATAATAATAATATAATTTTATCACTTAGTGAATTCCCCAATATACATTCTTGTAAGATTATATTCTATGACAATTATGTATGAAACAGTTTATAGAAAGTAGTGTGTTTTGTAGAATTTGATCTTAAATGTGCGGCATAAGCACATATAGTAGTAGATATCAAAAACATTAATGAATGTACGGAACTAACAATAATGTGAATAACATGCTACATTGTATCTGCAGTAAAATCATTTGATTTTTAAATGAAGTCATGAGGTATGGAAAACATTAAGAGATACCACTACTCATTTCAGGTGCAAAATAGAGATAGTTTTTACTTGTATTTAACTTTATCTTACAAACTCTACTGTGTGCCTCTGGCATAAATGCTTAAACTGGAAATGGTCTTACTACTATTACTAGGAGATTATTTGGACTCACGGTTAAACGCTTCAAATTAAGGTTTGCAGTTCAATATATCCATAAATGATGTGACATTTCTTCTCGAGGTCTCGATACTTACAAGAAAATGTAAATGTGCGTTGCAGTTTTGTGACTATCACACGAACAAATCACAATAATTTACAGGAACTTTGTATCAACCGCCATACTTGATGCAGTGCTGCCATCTCTACAAGATGAGCAACACAGGAATTCCGGAAGTTGATGTCTTGAATTTTATTTTTTCAAAAATATATGTATCTTACATTACATATTGCTACAGAAATTAGAAAACATACTCTGGAATGTATAATGTATATGAAACGTCTACAAAGATAATTTTCTCATTAACTTTAGTCTTTGTCTTTGTTTTGTAAACAAATCCCCTTGGTGATGACCTCTAATAGAAGAATTCAACGTGTTGGAAAATCTAATTGGAAATAAGATAAAAAATATTGTAAAATCACATTTTTCTTTTATCTTGAGATCATAGAAATAAATGAATCATCTGCACATTTATTTTATTGAAATAATGCATTTGTTTTCTTGTCTTATGCACAATTTTTCCTTTGACCTGTTCTTGGTTTCTCCCAACTTGGCCTAAGCAACTTCTCATTTGCATATGAAGCCAAATGTTTGTGCATGCCAAAGTGAAGAGAAAAAAGCAGCAGCCATCGTAATGGAGACAGGACTAGTTGAAGCAGTTGTTTCAGAGTAAGAACCATTTTTATCTTAGTTTAGTTAAATATATATTAGGACATTTACTGCTTTATTGATACATAGAAGATGTACCTGTGTGGAGGGCAGAAGGAGTTTTGGATATTTAAATTAACATTATGTAGATTTAATAGGCCTAAATTACAGGTACACTGTGGTAAAGGTGATGCCAGTACCAGATGCTTCATTGTTTGAGCTTGAATATTAAATATTAATTTTATGAATTGTTTGATATTATTGTTGTCATTGTTTATATCTCATCCACAGTTTTGAAAATTAATATAAATTCAAAAGTATAACTGCTGTATGAAAACACTTGATCATTTTACCAATACTACCAGTTCATTTCTGCAAGGACAATGTGCTGAATAATTAGTCTGAATATGACAGCTGTGTCCAAATATGAGAGGCTGCATTATGCCTGTACATTTATTGCATAAAATCCTTAATACATCAATTAATTAGATTTTCTTTCATTTCCTAGTTGACTACATTTATTAAATATGAGGTTGTTAGGGTAATAACACATCAATTTCCTTTGAACTTAGAGACAATTAAACCATAAAAAATTGGACCAGTGAACCTTAGAGTAAAGAACTTTGATATCAATAAAGCTTCATACCAATGCATCTTGGTACTGTTGAAATGCATACTTAATTTCAAACAGGTGACTATTTTATATTATTAAAAAGGAGGTTATAATAGTAATGAAATGTTTCAAGAAGATTGAAGTTACAATGAAATGAAAATCAGTGCAGGTAAAATTTAGGGCTCTGCAGGAAACAACCATCTCCTTAAATTTATAGTTTAATCTTGTCTTTTTCTTTTCAGATACCACTGAACAGAAAATTACTGAGAATTGACTGGATAGCGTGGCTCACATAGTAGTCTGCACTAACTTAGAAGCACATATAGTTTTAGCAGATTAGAATAGAGAAACAATAATACTGATGTCTGCTCAAACGCAGCTACCACCCCTGAATAATCTCCCACAGTGGTCAAGAGTTCATACATTGGACAAGGCCAGATATCCAAAGCCATTTGTAAAAGACAGACTTAACCCAATGCCAATGGCGGATCTAGGTGCTAGCAACCCTCCTGGCTCTTCAGAGTCGGACAGAGATCTAGACTTTACAAGCATGGATCCAGTGACCAGGATTCAGTACCTTGAAAAAAGCATAGGATTTCTAAAACATCAACATAAGGAGGTGCTTTCTAGTTTGCATGAAGAAATAGAAGCTCTGAAAAAAGAAAACAAAGGTAATTAAGAGGAGATACATTTTGTGTTGAGGACGTCTGGAATATTTACATTTAATCAGTCTGCTTCAATGCCTACAAAAGATTTAGTCTTGTAATTCTCCAGTAATAAAAGTTAATTTGCAGTGGTGCTAATTGAAATTGCTTGACTTCACACACGTTTATTGAATTATGGGAGAATACTGACTTAATTAGTTATTGATCTTACTCTTTCTTATGAGAGTCTTTTGGGTAAATGTGAAATTGGTATTCATTGATTTGATATTGGCATCATGAAACAATACATCAACAGGTCTCAATCAAGTAATTGATTATGGTGTTAAACCTGAATTAAGGAGGGCTTTATATTTTGATGAATAATTCACAGTATGCTAAATTGGTGATAGGAATGCTATTCATATAGTATTCATATATTACTTACTCTTTGTAGCTTTGAAGGTAAGGAAAATAAAAAGGATATGATCTGATTCCATATTACCCTTTCGTATTGATAATTAACCAGCTTTTTTTTCTTCTTCAGATCTCCAGTTTGAGTTGATTATGATTCAAAAGAATCAGCAGTTAAATTCCTCAAGTGCCAATAATGCAACTTCACAAAAACTGGAAGTGCCTGACAGACCTACAGATAAAGGTAAACTTTGTTTTACCCATTATTTTATACTTCTAACATTTCTAAAACTGTGTTATAATTACTCTTGTACCTTTCAAACCATTATGTTGCTTGACAAGTGACTTGATCATTTTAAATCTCTCAAGTTTTTCGGCCTGTTAATTCTAAATGTTTCAAGTAATTGGTTGGATTTTATTTCAGAGCAAAGCTCAATATCCTTGAGGTCAAGAACAGCAGAGGGGGATTCTGTAACAGACCAGTCACAAGGTGAGGAAACAGCAAAACCATCAGCACTCATTATAGCCAAGATCTTCATAGTTATGAAATATTCATTGCTTCTTGGAAGTCAATACTGTGCACATATTTGTCAATATATGTCCAACACAGCAGTTTTAGAATTTCAAAATTTTCCTCTTCTCAAGCATTGTTTGTTGATGTGATACATCATAGTTTTCTGTCATCTTTGGCCTTTTTTAGCTGATCTACAAATTATATAAATAACTGATTGATTTGGTCATGTCTGTATTGAGGTTTATTTTATTTATTGATTTATTGATTGATTTCAGAGCCAGAATTAAAGCACATTTTCTTAGAAGAAGAAATAAAAGACTTAAAAGAGACTCTAAGGGAGGCAAGGAACCACAATACTTATCTCAAACAGCTTTTGGAACAAGAACAAAGCAAAAGTAAAGAACTGTAAGTAATATTGCCTCTGTTATTTTCAGTAAGAGCCATTTTCAGAAATAATTACTTCAGTATCATCATTTGTTTTTGGGTACAACTGTTTGTTTTTAATATTCAGTTGTAAATAACTTATAATGAATAATTCAGTATCAACTCTGCAGGGGACTTCAGATTATTTATATTCTTGTCAACATAAATTTATAGTAAAAAAAACCTTATAACTAAATATAATTATCAAAATTAAATGCACAATTGGAACAATCTGACAATGAGGTGAAATGCAACATAAGACACAATGTTTGAAGTCTAAAAGCTTTGCAGTGAAAGTCTTAACTATGCGCTAATCTTACTTTGCAATTGAGATGTAGCATGTCATGTTTTTATGAAAATTTGTTGCAACGGAATGTTATTGCTACAATTTTAGACAGCAACAGGTGTCCAGTCAGAGCCATGAATCCCCAGCAGCATATGGCCAACCTCAAAACACACCTATAGATATGAGTAGCATCACAGCCAGTCTGAACCCATTGCAAATCCACCCTGCCAACCAGCCTCCACGGCAACCTACTCTACAGGAGTGCGAGATGATCATTCGGCACATGCAGCATGTCAACGAGAAACAGTCACATGAGGTAATCCATCTTATCCATCTTGTATGCATAATGTTTGGAAAATCCTTGATGAATGGAGCTAAAATATGTTTATCTTACCTAATGTCCATGCTGAGACATCTCCGTTGCAGAAAAAATTTTCTTCATTACCAACTTTCATAAATTTATATTATATCTTTCAGTTGAATAGGTTGAAGTCAGATCTGCGTGATGTGTTGTATTCTCACAAGTGGACCCCAGATGCATACCTGCTAGCTAAGGCTTATGTAGCAGAAGAAGAAAAGGGGGAAGTGGTTGCATTAGACCCACAAGCTAGATTGCCAAAAATACACAAACATCCTGGAAGGAAATTGTAAGTTGGTAAACATGCCTATTTCTTTGTTAATGTGCACATTATTTTTGTTGTATGATTTTTCAAGAAAAAAACTTCATGGGTCCCATCATCTTTTGACCATTTCGTGGTTGAAGGGTCAACCGTTGTGCTTTTGCATTTAGGGGAAGTTCTTAACAATTTTCATATCTGTAGCATATAAAAAGTAGTGTTTCAGTTAAATGAGAACTCATTCATCTGCCCTGAATTATATCATACAGATGTCTAAAACATGTAATGCCCCCAGCTGCAAAAATAGCAGATGTTTTGTAGAAAAGCTAGTTGCAGTCAAAAATCTGTATTTACCATGTAGAGGCAATCAAGGACACTGGCATGACCTTTCCCGCAAGGCCATTCTTTGGCATGCGCAGTGTGAAATGCTGGAGAACTGTGAAATGGTCAATGTAAAAGAGCTCCATACCATGAACAATGCAGGATTGTTGAAATTAATATTTCCAGATGATAAGGGAGTGAATTTTGAAAATCAGTAATTATGATTGCTATATAAGCATATCTGATACCCATATTCCTATCAGTTTATTTTTCTTCATTTCAGACCTGAAGTTGCCTATATTGCCTCCTCTGAGAAAGTGTCTCTGCCTGCCCTAACACAGACTGTGGGTAATAAAGCAGTAGAGAGAAGAAAAAGAACACAGATTCTCCAGAAAGCTAGACTTCGTAAAGAGGTGCTATAAATGGCAAGATAACTGTGCAGTTTTTTCTTTTTATTCACACTACTAGGACTTGATATTCAAATGTATTTGGATAAGGGGCCAGTTTTGTGTTTCAAAAAAAAAAGCAACTGCTTTTGGTGCTTGCTTTGAGTGGCTAGCAAACCAAATAGGGTAAAGCTTTATCTACCTGAGTACTGTATATTGTGCTCTAAACAATTGACTTGTATTACCAATGGGAGCTGGATATACTTACAGCTAATGTGCCCTTAGAAGCTCAGTGCTTTAAATGATGACATGGTCATTGTATTAGATGTAAAAGAAAAGTGTCTATGTTGTTGTCAAACATATTAATAGCGATCAACATTTTAAAAGTCAAGTTTAAGATTGGTTTTTCATATCCAAAGTTTATATGGATTCAGTTGATTTTATTTAATTACTTTGGGCAGAGAGATGTATATTTAGACCCAATTATAACCAAATTTAATTTATAAGATTTTTCTGTTGTGTTAGGTGTGCTCTTTTGATGTTAAATGGATTCATGTGAGGGCAATTCAGTCATTTTATAGTCTACTCCCTTTGATTATTGCATTTAAAAAAGTCACACTACAACACATCAAGACATTCCAGATTTTTATTTGATCACAAAATCACAACAAAATAGTAAGGATCTGATGAGCATTTGATGCTTATGCCAGCTAATTGCATTTGTTATAGATATGCGTTTTGTTGCAAAATGGAGCGTTCAATTTACTATTCGTTCTCTTCATTTTGTTTCAATATACAAATGACCTACAGACTAGAATCGTGGCATTAATGTTTGACATGTCAGTCAACATTGTATGCAATATTTGCCTATTCCTAACGAACCCTGCGAAATAAAATGTTTGTACAAATCAGTACATTAGTTTTCGTGTTTACTTGTGATGCAAAGGTTTCACGATTTTTTTATGATCACACCGTCCACTCGGTGGAACAGAACATGATATTGAGTCATTTTACACCAAGATGCCTAAAGTAATTGGCTTAGGTGACCAAGGAGTTACTCCTTGAGGTGACGAAGATCGAGAAAGAAGGACAGTATGACCCAACATCCAATACAGCTCTACCTCTACGAGCATTTTGTTCTATACAAGAGGAAATATTTGTACTTTTTTTCTTCAGTGTGAATGAAACTAGGATCTTTTATGAGCTAGAGGCAACATCATAAAGTAGTATACAGTGTCATTTCACTGAATTATAATTATATAGATGAAAGTCATAAGTCCGGGACGTTTTTATCACCCACCCGCTCCTCTCATTTTTAGATAAAAAAAACTGAAACAAATATAGACTGAAAACAGTGCCATTAGCTAGTTTCGCTCTAATGATTCATTAATGGGTATGTTGCCATTAAAGTGTTTTTCGGCTGGAGGAATGTTCACTCCAAAGACAGCAATGATGATATTCATAAACAAAATAACAATAATGAAGAGTGTGGATATTGTGCTGCCGACGTGCCGCGCTCGGTTTCTCTGTCCGTTATTGTTCCACCAGTCACGTAATGCCACTTCGTACTCATCTCTGTGTTCGTAGTTGAGTCGATTTGGTGGGTCGTGCAGGTTTGTCATCGTCTGAAAAAAGACGAGCAATATCACTAATTTTACATAGATGCAACACATTTTAAAACGAGAAAAAGAAAAACATAAATATATTTAAGAATGAACTAGATGAATGCGTTCACCATGGACGAAGTTATTTCTCTCTTTCCCTCAAACATCCTTTTGCACACACGTAACGTAGGCCTACCTCGTACCAAAGGAGAAGTGCCACTATCAACTGTAAAATAATAGATCCGATCAGCATGGAAACTTGTAATTCAAAGAACGGCTCCTGGCCTTTCAACTGCCATACCACCTTTAACTGACTGGCATTAGCTGCGAGCAAAGCCTTGTCTAACAGCCTGGAGAAATGAAAGATATTAAATTTATACCATATAACATTGTCAATACATGCATAGACACCAAAAATTCCGAAAGAATCTTTCTTTGAAGAACTCATAAAGCATGCATAAACGCAAACTGTTGCACAGAATATATGACATCTTACCCCTGCGCAAACGTTTTCTTCTTCATATAGTGAGTGTAAGGCTCGTCAACATTTCTGCCTCGGAATACTCCCAAAAAAGAATGATTTTCGCCGGAGTTTTCATCCAAATTGTCGTTAAACTTTTCTGTGATTGACGTTTTCTCCTTGTTCTCTGTGTCGGCCATATTCCTATTTGAGCCAGGCTACCTGTATATCTTGATGGTACACGAAGCGGTCAGCGAGCGTTAAGTTGGTGCACGTGTGAAAACAAACAAATCCCGAGTGTTGAGTAACTTATATATAAAATACTCCAGCGTTTCGTTTCTAAGCAGTTGCAGGTGTCTTGTTAGAGATGCTGCCGCATGTGATGTCTTGTTCATCACTGTGGTTGTGGGTTTTTCCTGCACTGTTGGGCAGTCTATTAGGAAGTGAAGGAAAGAACAATACAAATCCTGCTTCGCCCTGTCATCGAATAGGCGAGTGAGTCACGACCTCTCTTGCCAAAAGTAAAACCAACTAAGGCTATATATATAAGTTTACATCCTGGTGGTAAAATTTTAAAATCCCTGATGACTACGATGTTCCATTTTCATATTTTAGTCATGGTAAATAGGCCTTATCTCAAACAATTTGTGAATACAAACTCAAATTTTTTCTTCTTCCGCGTTAGTTTCTCTTCGTCTTGAACACCTTTCAGTTTTCATTCAAAAAGCCTATTCTAATATTTCAAAGATCTATCACTTTCTTTATCAAAACGTAATGAAAATGCTGCTCAAGCAAATGAAAGCAAAATTTGCATTTTTTACTTTGAGTAATGATAAAAAATACACTCATAATTGAACGCATTAAAATATGTAAACAGTTTAATTGCGTGTTAAATCAGGGAATTATATCCGATTCCCTGGTTAAATACAATGCGCTTTTTAAAAGAAACGTTGCCTTGGCGTTATAAGCTTTGGATCTTCCATCTGCCTTTTAATGAATATCTTGTTCGGGAGGGTGGTGATAACAAAAAAAGGATGCCAAAGCTGTTGGTCCTTATACTGTTGTAATGCCAAAGAATTCCTTCATTCTCTACTTCGTCTGTTCTCCGGGACAAATAATAAAATCATGGAACAGACGGTTGGCACTTTCCCAGGAACTTTCGTGGAAAGCATACCTTGAACTGCAGCAATTGTTGGACTTTCTGTAATGACTTTTTCGGACCTTTTGTGGACAACCAATTCTGGGACATAAGCAACAGCTACTGTTAAAATATATATTCACTTTTTCTGTCATTTATCATTTATCTGGCGTTTGGCAAAAACAAAAACAAATGTTTTGACACATCAAAATTGTGTTAGTTGAACTAATCACACGTAGCGCATCTGTTAGCAGATGAGTGAAGTATATAGGATCTTCAGTCCCTTTTTAAAACTGCTTATTCACCAACGCTGACAAGCCCCCCACCCAACCACCAATACCATCACGAAAGGAAATAAATGGCGAAACACAAAGTTGAAATGGATTATTTAAAATAAAAATAATCTTCCAAAGTATATCAACCCACGTGTGTTCATATTTTTTTAATGTTGTTCGGTTTTTTGACAAAAATAATATCAATCTACGAAAATGTCAAAATGCTAGAAATTTACAAAATAATGAATATTCAGAAGCCCCCATCACCCGCAAATTACTAACAAAATGCCGCGAATAAATGTCCTTTGACCTATGCCTTTCAGCTGACGTCATATCAGTTTTTGCTAGGACTTGTTTAGGACTACTGTGTACTACCCTCCCCTTTAGGTAAGTTGCGACAAACGAAGATAGTATTAAATGGTGCCTTCTAGCATCTACTTTGAGACACAGAGGGAGGGGGAGCGGGACAGAGGGGGGAAAATGGTCAAGGGAGACATTTGTAACATACTTGAAACAACAGTCGCAAACACACCGTGCAACATTCCATATGGTAATTCATATTATGTGCGTTTATTCATTAATCTAAGTTGAGAAAACGCAATGAATAGCGTATTTCGCGCTTCTATTTGTGAATATGATTTAATTATGAGCCTTGTACTGTATATTATGTCTTTTATTTATTTATTTATTTATTTATTTATTTATTTATTTATTATTATTATTTTTTTTTTTGCAAAATGTTTTAATTTTTGTACAATTCAAAAGTAATCTTTTTAATTTGACAATTTACGAAATAAAAGCTGTGTCACAAGTTGCCAACAAAAGGGTGCAAAAGGCATCCTACAATTTCAGAATTATCATTGTCGCAACTCTATTTAATCGTAACTATTGGCATAGCCATTTAAACTTCAAACGTGTTAGCGTGAAACGAGTGATATGGAGGTCCCATATGATACAGCTCCTTCCATACGATACTATTCCTGACATTTCCGGTGTATAAAAACACTCTTTAATGTTATTCATTAGAGCTGTGTACATGTACATTAGGTTTTTCTCCTTGCATGACAAAGAAAATAATGTTGTCGGTTAAACGCGGTATTCAGTAGGATAATTTAGTGCGCATTACTGCATTTTACAAAAACGTGGGATGTGAGCATAAGGATACCACTCAATATTAACAGAATACTTCGCAAGGTGCTCCATAGAAATACAAATGCTGTGTAAAACTACATCAGCAAGTTCCTTTAATTTCAAATTAATAGAGTTACGTAATTTATCTTAGTGTTAAGATCAGGAAGAACCGCACAACAAACAAGTAAGGCTAAAAATATATATAGATGTAAATAAGTATAATTGTATGATATTTAATATCGTAAATTTAATGTTAAAACTAAGCCCGACTTTATTCTAAGTTTAAGTGGTAACTATTTTTAATATAACCATCCAGCATGCATATTTAATACACAACTAACATACATGCACTACATTGTAACACCGTGATGTATCGTTTTATATTGTGAAAGAGAAGAAACATAACCATTAACGTATTTTTGTTTCTCTAGGTCTTTCTTTGTTTATTTATAGTTGGGCCAACTTATTCATTTATTGTGAATTTGCTTAACAAAAAAAAAATGATTTTTTTTACCCATGGTCCCCTAATTCGTGGTTCCGTGTCCCCCCTCCTACAGCAAAATTCCCACTTCTACACATAACTGATAGTAAAACATTTCTTTTCAGTCGGGAATTGGTCAAATATCATAGCATTGGTTTTCAGCCGAGATAATGCGATCACAAATTCAGTAAAAACAATTTAATAATTTACTTAAATGATAACATTTAATATTTAAAAAAAAGTAAGACTTGTCATTTTTATCTTCATTTTTTTCAGCCTGGAGAACACTCTTCTCGTGCTCTAAATTCACGTTATTTGATAAGCTATAAAATGCCTGTAGTAAATCAGAATAAATGAGTCTATTGAAATCATCCTTAAATAATGTATATTTGACAAGTTAATTTATATATACCTTTTTCACCCCAGATGTGCCGCGTTTTGGATATTGCTTGTGCAAGTACCACTGACCACATCGAGGCAAGTTCCCAGAGCACTGCCTCACTACGACTATACGCTAACATACATCATGGACGGGGCTCCAGCAGTGGTTATAGACAACAGCAGTAGCATTGCCGAACATCACCAGCTGGCTGGGCGCTCCATGGCCGAAGCCATTGCTGAGGGAAAGAGGGCCACTCTATGGTTGAAGGTGTATTAATAAGCAATGTTTACACAATTGATGTTGCAAGATATTATAATAAAACGTTATCGTCAGGTTAATAAACCAACTAATTCAAAGCTTTGCTGCAAGAGTGACAAAATGTAACACGACAGAGATCGTGCGATCCCTCGCTAGATCCCCATAGACAGAGGGTTTTATTCAATTTTTTTGTATTATTTTTAAGGCTTTTTTTGCGAAAATAGAGCTTTTTACATAAACCAAATGAGCAGCTGTCATAATACCTTGTTATTTTATATCTACCTTCAAAGATAATTTCACACCAGTCTATTGTAAAGAAACGTTGTGTTAATTGTAGGAAAAATATGGCATTGACTTCACAGACGTGGAGGATGAGGTTTACCTCGACGGTTCGAAAGCGGTCACGAGAAATAACCTGACATTCAAAGCGTTTGCACTGGACCCTCGAGCGCGTTATCGTCTCGTGACTGCCAGCAATGGATATAGTGCGCAGTATTTCAATATACCACTCACGGATGCAGGTAAAGTTCTAGTTAGAATGAGCTATTACTTATCGGATTTTCCAGCTCAAGTGAGACAAATCGTTGTACGGCTGAATATTCTTTATTTCTTTTCAAAGTCCCTGAAAAGTATTCTATTAAAATCCCATATCACGACCTTTTGGCTTCCGGATATTTCACACTATAGTTATCTTGCTTTCAGGTTGGACATTAATAACAGATGAGGAATATCAGGCGAATGGTTCTTATACAGGCGTTATTCCTAAAAATTCCTACATTCTGTACTCCGACTACGTAATCCCCGTGTGTCCATACTGCCGCACCAGAGAAGGTTTTTTGCACTTTCCCTGTGGGAATATCTTCGGCACCACAACACCGTTGGTTATTCATTATGAAACCAAAAGTTTCCTTGCCTTGGGGAATCCTATCATTATCGACTTTCTGGTTAGAGAGAGGACCTGGGGTGAGGGGGAAGCCAGCGCCGTGGGGTGGTTCTCCGGGACAAATAATAAGATCATGGAAAGGACAGTCCTCACTTTTCCAGGAACTTTTACAGAGAACACAACCTGAACTGCAGCTTTTGTTGGAGGTTCAGTATTGGATTTTCTCAAATTTTTTGTAGAAAACCAATTATGTGACATTAAAATGTAAATTGTGATTCATCCAGTTGTGATGTTTAAAGGTAAAATTATTCACTCTAGTACTAAACACTGACGTAGAGATTCCGACGTTTCGTCCTCATCCCAATGAAGATGTCCTTGGGATGAGGACGAAACGTTGTAATCTCTACGTCAATGTCTAGTGTTATAGTTAATAATTTTACCTTCAATTCTGTGACATAAACATCAATTATACATTACTGTATTTGTACCAGGAGTTTAGCTTTTAAGACAAGAACATGTTTTGACACATCAAAATTCTGTTAGTTGAACCTGTCACACGTAGCACATCTCAATACACAACNCAGTGTTAGAGTTAATAATTTTACCTTCAATTCTGTGACATAAACATCAATTATACATTACTGTATTTGTACCAGGAGTTTAGCTTTTAAGACAAGAACATGTTTTGACACATCAAAATTCTGTTAGTTGAACCTGTCACACGTAGCACATCTCAATACACAACTGTAAGAAATAGTAGGAAGGAGGGTCTGCATTTTCCCCTTTAATATAAGCACTGGAGTATCCATCAACTGTAACCCCTTCCCCCATTACCACCAACATAAACACCAACGGCAAAAACACCACCAGTACTAACTACAACACCAAGAAAGGAAATAGACGGTGGAACACAAAGCACTGGGTATTTTAAAGTGAAAAAAAAAATGATTTTCCAATTTATATCCGCCCACGTCTATAACTTTTTGAAAGAATGTTGATTGGTTTTTAATTAATTAAAAAGTGTCATAATCCCCGCATTTATCAAAAATCGTGAAATCTAGAAAAAAAATTGATATTCAGAAGCCCCCATCACCAGCAATGAGCAACAAAAAGGATTTTTTTAAATTTAAAAATGTCATTTGAAGGTTGCCTTTCTAGCTGACGTCATATTAGCAGTTCTCTCTAAATCACCTTTTATCTAGGGCCACAGGTGCTGCGCTCCCCTTTCGGTAAGTTGCGAGGAACGAAGGTAGAATTGAAAGGTGTCTTCTAGCGTAAACCTTGAAAGACAGAGAGAGGAGTTGGAGGTAGGGGTAGAGAGGGGGAGGAATGTCTAAGGGAGATATTATTAAACAAACTTGTAACAGTCGCGCACAGTGCAACATTTACTACGTAAGTCAGCATGTGATACCGTAATGAAAAGCATTTTACGCTAGTATGTATGAATTTGATTTCATTGTGAGCTTTATGCTGTATGGTATGTCCTTTTAGTGTAATATTGTAACTTTTGTATAATTTCAAAGTAAACTGTTTCAGTTAACGCTGGTCGTATTGACGTAACGAAAACTGCCCCTCAAGTTTCGAATGAAAGTGTGGAAAACGCGTGGGGTATTTATTAACGCATTAAAAGTGGAATGGCAGCATAAGAATCCGTCTCTGCATATATTAGCCAGACTCTTAAGCAGGGTGCTTAATAAAAAAATACCACTGCTGTCTTAAGCCACATAAGTACACTCCATTTACTTCAAATGAATCGGCCTATGTTATTTATTATATTGTGTAAAGTTTAGGAAGAATCACACAAGAAACTATAAACGTTTAGAAAATATGCGATGTAAGCAGATTAATAGTGTCATATTTAATGTCGTAAATTGAATGTTTAAACTAAACCTAACAAACAAAAAAAAGATGATGGGGATCATCCGAAATAGCACTAAATGTTGCTAAGCAAAATCTCGCACGATTTGAAGTAAGGTGGAGTCAGAAATAATGGCAGACTAGTAATTGCAGTGCGACAACGAATAAAAACCGACAGGGTTTTTGCTGGGTCCAGTTTCATCAACACTGGATAGCGCATTGGATAAAATTGTTATCCTCTGGACAGTTAGCATTAGGATAGTATCCCTTTCAACCACTGGAAAGCAATATCAGAGACAAAAATAAGAATCTGGCGTTTGGAAAACATTACTTTACCCATAGGATACGTAACTGTCCAAAGGATAACTTTTCAACTGATAGTGCCATCTATAGGATATTGCGCTACCGTGTGTTGATGAAACTGGGCCCTGGTTGATTTCTTTTAACAGTCTAATGCACAACAGTACGAATGATGCGGAGCGCATCGTCTCTCTCTCTCTCTCTCTCTCTCTCTCTCTTTGGGAAAATTGTCAAACGGGGCCAGGGAATTTCTCCATTAACCTCTTCTTTTTGCCCTCCCCCTCCCCTCTTAAACATCAGAATTCCTTAATCTGTTCATAAAATCTTATAGACTGTAGCATTTCTTTCCTGTTAGAAATTGTTCACGTTGAATTCATAACCACTGGTTATAAGCCGACATAAAATGCGATCGCAATTTCGGTAAGAACCAAGAAGAAATTTTCTTATAATTTATTCTAATGTTTATATTCCATCAAATAAATTGTCTTGTTAGATCCTTTTCTTGTTATTATTATTAGCAGTAGCAGTAGTAGTAGTAGTACTTATTTTGACATGATGCTTCCAGTACATCACGACATTAAACAGGCGATAAAATAACCGTGGTTAATAAGAACTTGTTAATTTTATTGCAATTTAAATTAATGATGTGTAGATATTATACAAGGTAATCTATCTAGGATTTTTTTACCCAGAATAATTTGTAGATGTATTGCGCTCTGGATGATACTGCTCGTGCAAGTACCACTGACCACATCGAAGCAAGTTTCCAGAGCGCTGTCCCACTACGACTATACGCTAACATTTATCATGGACGGGGCTCCAGCAGTGGTTATAGATAACAGCAGTAGCATTGCTGAATATCACCAGCTGGCTGGGCGCTCCATGGCCGAAGCTATTGACGAGGGGAAGAGAGCTTCTCTATGGTTGAAGGTGTATTTAGCAATATTTTACATAATAGATATTGCAATCTATTACAGTAAAACGTTATCGCCAGGTTAATAAGACTGGGTTCCCATGCCTAGATCGATCCATCTGGATCGATCCAACCCCCTGGGGAGTCTCACTATATTGCTATCAACTTAGCCGGCTTAAACGTCTGTCACTCTTACCCATAGCTAGGGGGTAAATATAATTGGCCCCTAACAGCTTATACCTATAAAGAAACTTAATAATAGATCCCTATAAGGCAGAGGACTTCTTTCAAAACCATATGTATTATTTTAAGACTTTTTGCGCAAGTTCCCACTTTACATGAACCAAATGGAAAGTTTTCATATTACCTTTTTATTTATGTATACTTGTTTCTAGCTGCATACATGGATTTAAACCAGGCTATTGTAACCAATGTTCCAATTGTAGGAAAAATATGGCATTGACTTCACAGAGTGGAGGATGAGGTTTACCTCGACGGTTCGAAAGCTGTCACGAGAAATAACCTGACATTCAAAGCGTTTGTACTGGACCCTCGAGCGCGTTATCGTCTCGTGACTGCCAGCAATGGATATAGGGCGCAGTATTTCAATATACCACTCATAGATGCAGGTAAAGTTCCAGTTAGGATCTTGTACAAAGAGGCTTTTTTTACTGCTAAAGTGACCCTATAGTAAAGTATCATTTATTCTTAATTGCTTATAAAGATTCTACCAACATGCCACGTCACGTTATTTTGTATCAAGCGAATAGTATGCGGTGTCGTTTTTTTTGTTTTGTTTTTTTCGATATAAGTGTGGTGTCAAGAGACATGGGTTTATATCTTTTTAGGCTGGGTGGTGATAACAAATGAAAATGTCCAAGCGAATGGTTCTTATACTGGTTTAATTCGCAAGAATTCTTACATCCTATATTCTGACTACGTTATCCCCGTGTGTCCATACTGCCGCACTAATGGAGGTTATTGGCACTTTCCCTGTGGGAATATCTTCGGCACCACGGCCCCGCTGGTTATTCATTATGAGACCAAAAGTTTCCTTGCCTTGGGGAATCCTACCGTTATCGACTTCCTGGTAAGAGAGAAGAACTGGGGAGAGGGGGAAGCCAGCGCCGTTGGAAAGTTCTCTGGGACAAATAATAAGATCATGGCGCGAACGGTTCTCACTTTTCCAGCAACGTTTACAGAAAACACACCCTAAACTGCAGCTTTTGTTGGGGTCTTATCTTTATCGAACATTTCAGGACGACCTCTCTGAACCAATACTTTGAAATATACTGCTGTCAACCCACTTGAGTTTTAGCAAAGAAAAACGCGATTAAAGAAATACAAGGGACATAATGACTGGTAGTCACATTATAGACTGCAGAAATTTAAGTTTCGTAGTTTTGCAGTTGTGTTCAGGCCCTGTATTCCACCGTGAAAAAAAAAAAAAGAAAAAGAAAAAACGTGACAATGCAATACTCTGCTAATTGGGGACGGGTAAGATAATGGGTCTCGCATTTTGCAGTTCAATTACAACGCAGTAGCTTGGTTTATCATTATGTGGAGTTATCACGGTTTTTGTTTCCGTAAAATTCTGGATTTTGCTGAGTATCTCATTGAGGGGTACAGGGATCACAGTTTAAAATCACCAAATCACAAATCACAGTAAATAAAACTTTATTTGATATTTCATTGAAGATGAACACGAATCACCAAGCATGTATTCGTTTCGCGAAGGACGAGGAATAAAAAGCCGCATTCACGAGTCACAGGATGCAAAACCCAGTGGTGAGGCCAGGTGAAGCAAAGGGAAAAAATATAGTAGACGAGATTAACTGTGATAAATAGGCACACTGATTGAAAATTACTTGTTTTGTGTGTGCAACCGGTATGTGTGGGTGGGTCGGGGGGGGGGGGGGGTTAAAGGGAAGTAGGGGTACCTCCGCAGCTGAAGTGAGGGTAGACACGTGGCTTGACCCACTGCGTACTCTCACTCCGTCATTGGGCAAAACCTTACGAACTTGTTCATCAACAAAGATATTCTTAATTATTAAATTGCACGAACTTCATATGAGAGCAATGGAGGCATTGTTCTCACAAACTGCACCTTTTCTGAAGGAAAAAAAACTGGGTGGAGGGACGTGCGTACATATACTTGAGAACATTTTGTTTTATAACAGTGTGCCAAAACACGTGCGAACTGTTAGTCAGGACACTAACGTTTCGTAACTATGTGATAACAGGTCCCCACAAACTCGACGATAACAGACAGGCCAGCGTTTCAGTGACCACATAGATGATAAGAATTTGGTATTTAAATCCACGGAGTAGCGTCAATCTGTCACAACACCAAGACACCTGCACAATGTTAAGAGCAGTTTTATCACTAGTTTTTGTCTCGCTGGTAGCGGCTCAGGTGCCAGGTATTGGCAAGTGTCCGCCAGCCAAACCCATGACCAGTTTTGACCTTGAAAAGGTAAGACTAAGTTTTTTGGGTTAAAAGAGTTTTTATTTTACTTTGAAATTATATCACTCATACAATAGTCAATTAATGCAGTGAGTCATTAATATTTGATACATTTGTTTCACAACTTTTTACCATAAATTTTAATTAAACTGATAATCATTATACACATTATACACATAATCACTAGACACATCAGGATATTGGCAACGATATCTTTCAGCGTTGATATAATATTAAATAAAGCATGTCTGTTTTTTTCTAAAATGCAGTCATCATCGCTTAAAAACTGCTTATTTTCTTAGTATCTTGGCAAATGGTACGAAATTCAGCGATTCTTCGCGGCTTTTCAAGCCGGAATGGACTGTGTCAGTGCGAACTATTCCTCCAAACCAGATGGACACATTAAGGTTTACAACGTCGGGTACAAGTAAGTAGTTTTAATTATGCGCATGTAAATAATTATTGATGATCAAAACGTTATATTTGTTATACATAAATCAGTCAACGCAGTTACCGCTAATATTTCTTCCTAAATTATTGAATTCAAGCGAAGCTGTAAAGCTGTAAACGGAATTTTTTTATAAACTATCTGTAAAAAACGTGAAAAGGTCTTACAAAATGAAACTAACCTCATACATTCATGCTTGCATGGTTTTAAGTCTCGCTATTCTGTGCTTTGTAGATCTGGAAAGGAGAACGCCCTTGAGGGAGACGGTTATGCTCCGGATGCTGGTTCTCCGGCAAAATTAGCTGTCCGGTTTGCTGCAGGTGAGCGTTTTAAGTGACTATAACCACTCCCCTTTCCAAGGGGGTTGAACTCCCAAGCCGAAAGCACGTTGAGTAGATTTATGATTCTGGTATTTTGTCTGTATTAAACACAGCACACTATATGTGATATGTGAACAGAGTAACTGCATTTCTTGGCTTACTTCCTCCCAATCAAACATAGCAGAGGTATTTAGTTAACTAGTGTCCCGATTTTAGTGTGCAAAGGCACGATTCATTATCGATTATTAAACATGAAAGAGAGCTTCCAAATTAATACTTTCGGTCAAACTTTGTCAATGTTTTTCTTCTGTCTGGGATAATATTGCATTTATAGATCCGTAAGTTGACATAAATTGGCATAAAACTTTTTTAACAATTTCAGGGACACCGTACGCACCGTACTGGGTTTTGGCCACTGACTACAATACGTATTCTTTGGTATTTTCTTGTGAAGAGGTTTTGGGGATTGGGCACATTGAATTCTCTTGGATACTGGCAAGAAAACGTTCCTTAGATCCAGCAACTCTAGATAAGCTTCGTGGAATTTTAAAGGACAATGGAGCCAACCCAGCAAATTATAAAGACACAAATCAAAGGAACTGCCCTGCCTACTAGCTCTAAGTGTGCATATATCTTATCTGCCTGTATATAAGTAGTCATTTGTGTATTGATATGAATAAGTGTCACCTTATGTAATGCCTTGGTGACCAACAGCACTACAAATTATACAGCTTATACAGTGTATAAGCCTACGTATACGTACAAACAGCGAATGTTCTCAGAGGTTACAAGGAGTATGGTTCACGTAATTTTCATATTTGTTAATAGATGAAGCATTTTGGAAAGATTTTTTACATTTCATATATTTAATTGAATATAAATAAATGATTTTATTAAGTGCCATTTTTCACTTTTTAAATTCTTAAAAGGCCCAATATCTCTAAAAACCTAATTAAGCGCATAAACTTTAGTAGGTACATTTTAAGCATGCTTTAAGATAAACATAAAACACAAAACAACAATAGATGAGTTAAATGTCATCATTATGCAGCTACATTAAATTAATCCTAGATAAGAATCCAAACGATGCCAAGTTTCCCCATTGCCTGTGGTGAGATGTACAGTTTTCAATCTCCACAACCGCAATCAAGGTTCAATGTTCCAGGGAGGAAAAAAATGAATATGTACAAAATTCTCATTAAACCACGTGAGTTTACCCGCTATGTTTCAGAATTCACTGTTATGAAACATTCAGAACAATATCGATAGAGCACTGTACCGGTAGACTGATTTACATACTTGAATTTGGACTGCTTGCATTGTAGTACACCGTTAATGCAGAGAGTACTCGACTTGTTAAAACCGTGGAAAAAAAGGTCATATGCAAAATGCAAGCGATAAATGCAAGATATTGGCAACCTTGCAAACCCTTGATCGTGATGTTAACGTTAAGACCGGCCTGATTCAGTATAGCCTTTGTATAAATATTTTATTATTGCCAGCCAAAATATGAAATTAAAACTGATCAATCGTCAGAATGGTAATGTTATAATAGTCAGATATCAAAGTAACCATTGATGAGGATTACTAATGACAACTTATCTGCAACATTTCCCATTTTGTTATATATTTTCCGATAGGTTTTTAATTGCTTTATCCGGATGAATCAATACGTATGATATAGAGGACAGTAAGTCACGAAATTTCGGTGGATAAGCAAAATAGACATGCAATGAATATGCGTTGTTACATATGGTCAACAGAGCATGATAATAGTCATTAGAGGAAAACCGTCTTGTATTATTTGAAAAAAATCAAATAAACAGGATTCAACAGAGTTTAGCCCTGGGGCGCCTGATTCGCGTATATAATCTTAATTTTGATGATTTACAACAGAAAAAGGCAGCAGAGAATGGCTTTCTCAAAGCAGAAAAAAATGAATGTTGTCATATCTTACAATTGCACTTCAGTGGTTATTGCACCAAGCTGCCGTAAATTACTCATCTAAAAGCGATAAAAACCTCGCCTCAGCGGGCTTTGTGCGTCATTCAGCCGGACAGAACATTCTGGAAAACAGAATGGTCATCAAAGCGGTTTCTTTGAATAGAGATATTTTTTTCTCGACGAGACTACATACTCAAGCTCTTTTATTGTATATCCATCTTAAGTGAATTATTTTGATTATATTACTGTTTGCGATTAATTCGACGCCAAATGCATCGAGTGAGTGGGCGCATAACAGCTTTGTCGAAGGAACCGTTTTACACACGAATTCAGAAGAAGTAATAATACTAGTATAATACACGCAGTTCGGTCAATTCTCAAGTTAAGTGCAATCCAACGCTCATTGTAAGAATATATGAGTTCTAATCTTTACATTGGAAGTTTCCATAATGTTCAAAGTGTTAGTCAGCCTTCCCATGGGATGCATATTTCTCCTTTTAGATGGTATTCTGATATTCTGCATTACGTATAGCCTTCAGTACATTTAGCAAGTACAACGTGGGCGAAAAGAGCCGTAAGAAAATGTGAACATTCGTCATTTTTCTAAACATTACTTCGCAATGTGTTATTCCTTTCAACTCCACATAAATACAGGAGAATGGCTCCAACGGTAAATCACAGTGTATGTCTTTTTGCTAATGTAGAGTAATCTTTATTCTGAGAGACGATTAAAAAATAAATCGTTAGATCTCCCAAATGTAAAACTACTTTCGCTTCAGATCAACCTATTTCATGGTCGTTNGGTCATATGCAAAATGCAAGCGATAAATGCAAGATATTGGCAACCTTGCAAACCCTTGATCGTGATGTTAACGTTAAGACCGGCCTGATTCAGTATAGCCTTTGTATAAATATTTTATTATTGCCAGCCAAAATATGAAATTAAAACTGATCAATCGTCAGAATGGTAATGTTATAATAGTCAGATATCAAAGTAACCATTGATGAGGATTACTAATGACAACTTATCTGCAACATTTCCCATTTTGTTATATATTTTCCGATAGGTTTTTAATTGCTTTATCCGGATGAATCAATACGTATGATATAGAGGACAGTAAGTCACGAAATTTCGGTGGATAAGCAAAATAGACATGCAATGAATATGCGTTGTTACATATGGTCAACAGAGCATGATAATAGTCATTAGAGGAAAACCGTCTTGTATTATTTGAAAAAAATCAAATAAACAGGATTCAACAGAGTTTAGCCCTGGGGCGCCTGATTCGCGTATATAATCTTAATTTTGATGATTTACAACAGAAAAAGGCAGCAGAGAATGGCTTTCTCAAAGCAGAAAAAAATGAATGTTGTCATATCTTACAATTGCACTTCAGTGGTTATTGCACCAAGCTGCCGTAAATTACTCATCTAAAAGCGATAAAAACCTCGCCTCAGCGGGCTTTGTGCGTCATTCAGCCGGACAGAACATTCTGGAAAACAGAATGGTCATCAAAGCGGTTTCTTTGAATAGAGATATTTTTTTCTCGACGAGACTACATACTCAAGCTCTTTTATTGTATATCCATCTTAAGTGAATTATTTTGATTATATTACTGTTTGCGATTAATTCGACGCCAAATGCATCGAGTGAGTGGGCGCATAACAGCTTTGTCGAAGGAACCGTTTTACACACGAATTCAGAAGAAGTAATAATACTAGTATAATACACGCAGTTCGGTCAATTCTCAAGTTAAGTGCAATCCAACGCTCATTGTAAGAATATATGAGTTCTAATCTTTACATTGGAAGTTTCCATAATGTTCAAAGTGTTAGTCAGCCTTCCCATGGGATGCATATTTCTCCTTTTAGATGGTATTCTGATATTCTGCATTACGTATAGCCTTCAGTACATTTAGCAAGTACAACGTGGGCGAAAAGAGCCGTAAGAAAATGTGAACATTCGTCATTTTTCTAAACATTACTTCGCAATGTGTTATTCCTTTCAACTCCACATAAATACAGGAGAATGGCTCCAACGGTAAATCACAGTGTATGTCTTTTTGCTAATGTAGAGTAATCTTTATTCTGAGAGACGATTAAAAAATAAATCGTTAGATCTCCCAAATGTAAAACTACTTTCGCTTCAGATCAACCTATTTCATGGTCGTTTATCAGCTTTTTACCCCTTCAGTGCCTTCAGACATGCTGTTGAAGTAATGGTATTTTTGCTGAAGCAACCCTAAAGATATCTCAGATTGAATATTTTGAAAGTATTTTAACGGATTTTAAGCCGGCAAATTCGAAATATTTGTAATTGACATTTGGGCCATTAACACGAGTCGTTTGAATTGAAAAAAGAGTAATATGAAAATTCAGGTAATTGGCAATTTGTCACTTTAACAAACCGTACATCACTAGAGATGAAGAATAAATGAAATAACGTGAGGTGATGGCATTGATTTAGATTAGGACTTAATCTGTGTAATGCATAATGTTCATAAGAAATGGGTGTTCAGACGTATTAATATACTTGATCACATTTAATGATTCTATCAACTATTTGTACGAAAAAAAAGACTTTTAAGACTTTTAAAAAGCGTAAATTGCTCTATTAGAGGTAAGTAGTTTTACGCAATGAAGTAGAAACTTGTTTTAACATAATGCATTTAATACACGAGAAGCATACATACCTATCCACTCGTTAGTGTAAATTAAATGCATGTATACCAGTACATAACCAAACTCCTTCACAATGTGAAGTACATTGCGTTGGAGCTTGGTTTTATCTTCTTAATTCAAAAGATTTTAGTTCAGCGATAACGATATTTACTGCGTGCAAGATTCCAACTTTTATTGCCCTTAAACGTTCAATACGCAAGGACCTAGGAGCATAATTAACTCCATTTAGAGGTCGCTGGTGTATAATCCAAACGAGCTCTGTGCGTTTTTAACTTGTTTGAAGTAGGGTTCAGTACGTACATTTTTACTTCAATCTTTATTTGCTTCGCTGTGGAACTCCTCGTTTCCCCAGTACAATATTCCCATATAACATTTTTATAACTCAACAGGCAGGTTTAATAGCGCTCACAAGTATAGCCCTTTGGCAAAGGCAAGGTCATTAGTCAACGTTATACTGTCTAGCATAATATCCCCATATACTTTTTTATTCATCTGTGAACATGAGTTATTGGCAAGTGCCAGTAAAACCTTTCGACAGGGGTAACCTATTAGGCTATGTTGAACTGTGAAATTGTTTCTGTATAGTCTTGGAGGCTTTGATAACCTCATCATTGGTCAGATGTACTAATAAACGAAGCACCTTTGGTCCCTGATGGTTTCACCTAGGAGTTGATTTGTGCATCAACCAAGCATTTGATCATAAACGCCCAAAAGAAAAAAAAAGACTGCAACCTTTTAAGTGATGTCTATATCGTACGAACACATCCCGCGGCATCTTAGCAGATGCCGGTCAATATACACGTTTCGCTGTCTTGATATTCCTGGCGGACACCTATTGGTGACTAGAAGTCGTTCAGAAGTTGCTTGGCAGAGACTCGCATGGTTTTCAAAGTCGGGCTGGTGTCCTTCGCATACAGCTAATAGTTTATCTTCCAGAAGCCAATTTCACAACATATTTCGGCCCAATAACAATTAGGCAGAACATTGGTTTACAGAGAGCAGATTGCAAGAGATCGATACATCAGTGTTCGTCTCTCCCACTCTAATACTGGCCTTGTCGATTACACGTACATATGTAGTCACTAGGAAGACATGACAGACGGAAAAACGAAGAATGAGAGAAAGGGGTTGGGTCGGTTGATAGAACCATTGAAACAAGGATCTGCATTCTTGATTAAACAATGGAAGAAGATACAAGGGATCGTTCTTCGGAAAGGAAATGGTACATCGACGGCCGAAAGTGATCCACCCACCACCGAACCTTCCAAATGCCCAACATCGTCGGCAGTTGGAGGAGAGACAACGCGGCATGGCGATTCATTTCAAGAAAAAGTGATCGCAAAACGCAAAAGACCCGTTTTGAACGTTATTGTGCTGAGTATAGCTTTTGTATTTGTTTATACCGCCTTTCTGTCACTACAGAGTCTACAGAACACTATAAACGCCGAAGGTGGAGTCGGTGTAGTGTCGCTAAGCTGTATTCACGGGAGCACCGTTGTATCATGTGTTCTGGCGCCATGGATTATTCAACGACTTTCTACAAAATGGACAATAATAACATCTTTTTCGTTTTTCCTGATGTACATAACCGCGAATTTCTATCCAGAACATATTGTAATGATACCAGCTTCCATTTTATTAGGTATGACATTCGGTCCGCTTTGGAGCTCCCAGTCAACGTATTTGACTACGGCTGCGCTAGACAGGGCCCTTACTACGGGAAACGAGGAAGATACTGTTATAGCACAATTCAACGGTTTGTTCTGGGGGATTCTACAATTAAGTCAGATAGCGGGAAACGTAATTTCTGCGTCCGTACTCGCAGACGATCATGTTGCCCATTTAAATAAAAACGCAAGTCACAGAAACGCACCGTTGTGTGGTGCCCAGGACTGCAGTGTCCACAACAAATTTAAAGTGGATTTCCGAGAAAAAGACCCCCTTTTTGCACATGTGCCACGAAAATTTGAGTACGTTCTCCTTGGTATATTCTTAGGATGTGTGTTGATGGGAATTGTTATTGCCGCAGTGTTGCTTGACAGACAAGAGAACGACGATGACGAAGAAAAAGACAAGCAACAAGAGCCTGCTAATCAAAGATTACTTGCATCTTTACGTCTTCTGAAGTCCAAAGAACTGCTACTGCTGGTGCCTCTTGTTGTCTATACTGGGATGGCGCAAGGATTTGTTTATGGAGACTTCACAAAGGTGAGGTTATGAGAATATTGAAAACAAACCAATTAACTTCAAAGTATATGTTGAGTCATCTGAGGGTAGGACATACATATTTCAGAACATCATTGTGTTGGATATCTTTATGACAAGGATGCGAATTCAGTTCAATGATAATGTCATGACTGATGTATGGCTTTCTTCTTTATCTCCCTAACAAGTCTTGTTGCAAATGTCGAATTGTCTGTGTTACGCTTTTAAGCGCTTTTTGTGGTTCAACGATATAATTTTGTGGTCGGATCAAATTCTGAATGTGAGAGCTATTGCATATTATGACAAATCCGTTGCATACATAAGTCATTAGCCCCGTGCATTTCGTGAACCTGTGAATAACTGAAATTATCATAATGAAGTAAAAAACTAGTCTGTCAGCATACCGTCGTTTGCTTAAAACGCAATCGATCATAATTAGGTTTAGGTTACACGGTCAAATCTGATATCCACAATTTAGTACTGGAGCGAAGGCAAAACTGTCACCAACGCCTTTTCATTATGTAGGCCGTTTCATTCTTATCATAGTCCATTTAAATTAGATTCACAGGCCTGTAGCCAGCAATTTTAAGGGGTTGTCTTTCTGTGAAAATGTAACCTATTTTTGCCATAATGGCTTATATTTGCACAAATAAAAAGTCAATAAAATAATAATTCAGCACAACGGACTTTTTACCGGCCAAAATAGCGGTCGGGGTCCATTCAACCCCCTGAGAGTTGGATGACGATAAGACCATAAAGCCAAAATGGTCTTCAAACTGTCTGACATAAAACAAACAGTTGTTGAAAATTAATCAGCAGATTGATGGCTCTGTATTAATTGTACTATGCTGAATTAACACACATTTAATTTAGTGCTTTTAACATTTTATTATCATAATGACTTAAAGTTGTCGTTGAGTACTGTATTCATATTTGCAGCCATTGATCATTTCAACTTCGGGCTTAACAACATATATGAAATTCCAAGATAATGTGCATAACACAAAGTCAATGCTGCGAGGGAAGTTCTTTGATTGTCGGGAATTACGGATACATTGATATGCCCCTCGACGAACTTTTTCAGACAGCAGTCAATTACACAAATTGGCTCCGTTACACCTTATTAACAGAACACCAACAATCTATATTTCCAGTTATTATCGTTTGCAAATATAGGACACCTGTCTCAGGAGATGTGGATGCTCTATGCTATAGCAATGAAATGATGGCGCCTCGCATTTCACGCTGTTTTAGATGAATATGTCACTAATATCCTCTTCCCTTCGGGAAATGTGACACTGCGCGCTTTGAACCAATCTTGAACCCCCCCCCCCCCACACACACACACTAACTTTTTGGGTGAAAAGTGCCGTAAATGCTCTTCACACTATTCTGTCTACTTATTTTTTGTCTGTCGTCCTTTTATGTGCTGCCTTTCCCTATAATAAGGAAAATTGAAATTAGGGACATTTAAAACAAATTTGACCGAGTGTAGTTCCCGTTGTAAAATGCTTTATAAGCTCCATTTCAACTTTTGAAAATTTTGTGTCGATTAATGCTACTCCATTTACCCACAAAGCTGTTATTGTTCCATTTTTTTCTTGTCAAAACATTTATCCTTTTAGAAACTTATGGAAAATTGGTTTATTGTTTAAGGTCATATCATTGTACATAAATGTAGTAAATGGCAAAAATTAACTTGTATGTTAATACATTGCATACATGTAGAAGGTTGTTGCAAAGATAAGTTTTCCTTAACTATACACATGCACACATAGACACGCGCGCAGGCGCACAAACGCACGCTCGCGTGCTTTTAAGAAATGTGAACAAGTTTTACACCATTTCAAAAACATTAAGTTAAGTTAATAACGTCTGTTGCCTTGGAATATTCATATTTATAAACACTAATTTTTGTCACGCAGTTGAAACAGCCGACTGTGACTTTACATACCTGGCACATTTGGAAAATTATTTGTCGTACTTGTGTCGTGTCAGTGAGGTTTGAAGCTTTAAATGTTGCTCCAAGTGCAGTCCCATATTAACCTTTGATGATATCCAGCAATTCTCTTTTTATTACTTAAAATGGAATAATTACTTGGAATAGATTTCCTTATTTCCGCACGATAATAGTGTTAGTCACGACACGGAACAATCAGATTGACTGATGAAAGTAATATTTATTTTTCTCTGCAGCTGACTTTTTGACTAGGTCTTCTCAGATCATGAGCGCATAGCGAGGATCACAATATGCATTTTCTTGGAAACCCTACAATTGCAAAGAGCAGTAAGCTCAAAGTATTGTCTTTCTAATAAAAAAATCCTGTTACATTCAGTTCACACCTACGTTAATGAAAACGAGAAATCAATCGTTTTTGTAGTGTTTCGTTCGCCAAAGTGTGATTCACAAGAACCAGAATTAGCAATTTTCTATTAACGAAGTCATATGTAATCAGCAATTTTATATCAAAGGCAATGTGTAAATATGTATGTCATCAATTACCAAGACATTCATCTTTTTTTCTTTTCAGTCTTTCGTCAACTGCTCACTTGGCGTACATAACTTGGGCTTGGTTATGATTTCTTTTGGTGCCACAAATGCCGTTAGTTGTTTCTCTTTGGGATTCCTCAACAAGTATACCCCAAGGTCGCACATAATAATAGCTGGGACATTCTTTAACGTGGGCATATTAATCGTTCTGCTGATTTGGATACCTGACCATACTGATATACCTATGTTTTTCGTAGTTGCTGCTTGCCTCGGAGTATGTGACTCTATCTGGCAAACTCAGACTAATAGTAAGTATAGACACTCTCTCTCTCTCTCTGTTCACCAAAAGTTTTCCTTCAAACTATAACCAGTAATTCTCTAATTCTCATTCTGCCCCTCTCACTCTCATTTCACCTGAACAGTAGCTGAATACCCCGTATATATACATAATTGCACCTTTAAGTTACACTTAATCACTTATTGCAAATTTTACCATCTTAAACATTTACAAGATAAATCTACTATCAAAGGCACCATAACTATAGCATCCTAAACTCTAGAATAAATTATTATTCAATAAAATGAGTGGAACAGGACATGTATTGCGTTTACCATGAACAACAATGGGCGGGACGCTTCATTGCAAATATGAACCCAAGGGGCAAAGATCGAAACGCGCCGAAACTGATTACCATATTTCGGGGGATTAGCAAAGAATGCTTTCCTCTTCAAACATAATGAAGGGTTGCCCTTGATAAGATAAAAGTTTGATATCGAATGCATATGAAATAATCATAATAGGGCAATGATTTAACCAAGCTTTTTGATATGTGCATTGTATATGAATGTATTCTGTTCTTAGAAATGCAGTATGCGTTGTTTGGATTTCCATTTTGTGACGTATTTTAATAAGGGCAATGTTTACTGAAATTCTCCATGTAATCTGGCGATTTATGCCAAACGGTGTAACAACAAGACACTCTAGCTGAATCAGCGTTTAATTATTATCATTTTGTTTTGAGAAAAAGACAATGATAAAAAAAAAAAAAAACAGAGATGACGCATAAAAATATGAGATTTTGGTGCTGTTCACTGACTTACCTAATGAATATGAACTGGAAATCAATAAGTCTTCAAACGATGTATACCAAACAGCTATATATCTTATATATTTTCTGTATTTCTTAATTGTGTATATTGTTTTAATAAACAAGCCGATACTTCTCTGAGGAAAGCGTCAGAAGAGATACACTACTCCTAGTTCTTACTCTGATGCAAATAATGCTCCCCCCCCCCCAATAATAACTGAATAAATTAATTGAAAGACCTGTAAAGGGATCTCGCTTGCTGAAGTCTCATGCCTGACAACAAAAAATACAAAACATAGTGTGAATTGTTTTGTGCCAACATTGTTCTAGATCTTGGCATCAATACGGATATAGTTTTTGAGCGACATTTCGATTGAATACTAATTCAATTTGATAGCTTGTGATAAGACAGGCGCACCCACAAGATAATTTCAGAGACAGTCTGCGGTTTCCAGAGAATCATCAGATAGGATAAGTGTTCAGCAAGGGATCAATAAAGGGAATTTGATGCCATTTTTTGGTATTCCAGACACGACATCCCTGTGAGAACGCATTTCACCTCATGAACGCAGTCCTTTAAGACACACAGTTGACTCTTACATGATAAAAACATTTTCCTGGAGATTTCAACACTCTTTTTTTAATTACCAAAGAATTTTTATCCATGAACCCTTTTATGAAATTTAAGTTTCTAGTCCTAAGTTTTCTAGTCCTCAGCGTAATGGAGATCGAGGCTGGTGAATTTCACTCATGGCGGTAAAAATTAGACATTTAAAACTTGAAAATGGAGTTAGGTATAGATCCTAATTTCCGTAACTCTTTTGCATAAGGTATATCTAAACAAGGTTTTACGTGGGGGGGGGGGGGGGGGGAGTTCTGAAACATCCAGGAATATATGAAAAGTTTTGTCATTTAAAGGTATAACGTGTAGCGTATTCCTTTGATCGATTCCCGCAGTACCCTTATGACGACTCCGTACCAGCGTACCATCAAATGTGTCCAACGCCACACGTATAACAAACCAAGGTTTTAAGGACTAAAAACTACAACTGACTTATTTCCCACCTTCTCTCAGTTCACGAAAATTTGAATATTTTTATGCGCCCAGAACCTTAATGCTGATCAATTAATAACGATTGATCTTGTTTCCTGAAACATTTAAAACATTAAAAGTTTATTCATAATTTGTGTTATCTTCTTCTTGTGAAAACGTAACATTTAATATTTGATGAGAGAAACGTGGTATTGATCAAATCCCTGTATCCCAAATAAATCACATGTACAGTATTTGGAAAAGTAAAAGTCTTGATTCTAAAATATGGCTTGATATCTAATGTTTTCAGTAGCCTGAGTCAAGAAGCAAAAACTGAAATATTATTCATACATGTGGATTTCGTCCAGATTTCTTGAGATAAATGACCTTGCCTATCACCGATCGCCAGATATATGTTGTTCAAGCCATTATAGCTATAGGCATGTTTGAACTATTGAAAATCGCTGTTTACTTGGAGGGTTCTTGAAACTCTACAATGAATGAGCTAAGGATATGTTAAGAGTGAGGTTGCTCAATAATTTTGTATGTTTGGAAATCTGAAGTTTTCTTGACGCAACTTACAAAGATGGCCTAAAAACCAAAAGGCGCTGGTCACTAAGAAACCAGAAGCCAATGAAAAACAATGTCCCATTGTGAGAATAATTACTGACCCAAAGGTTTGTTTTTTTATGATTCCGTTGCTAACAAATACACTTGTTGATGGTTTACAACAGTTGGATTGATTTAACACTGGATTGTTGCCTTCTAGAAAGGCCAGATTTTCTCTGGCATTCGATAGTATAAAGATCTTAAGCAGACATTTTAAGAATTAATTCAATGGTTTGATCACTTTTTGAAAGTAAATAAGTGAACTACAAAATTGCCAAAACAACGCGAGAATACTTAAGCGTACAACTTGAAATCGAGTATCATCGTGAAAACGACTCAGACCAGTGACGTCATCAACTTACATGAAGTTAACGTACATTAGTCTGCCCTAATAATTCATGCAAATACCCATAATGACGCGAGTGCCCTTATCAAGCAGCCCACCAAACCCGACTTTATTCCCAGGCTCATTAGACTAAAAGCAAGCTTTGTGATAAAACAACCATATTATCCTATAACATCAAACACTGCGTGAAAACAGAGCATTAGTAACACTCCGGACTTCTAAATTATTGATCATTAGTCTCGAGAGCCCGTGAAAAACGATTCAACGATATAAAATGGAAAACTGGTGCGCCCAACTGGATTTTTCAATGCATCATTTCGCTATTGAGGGCTGTCGACTGCAGATGACGCCTGCTTGCAAGTCGTCAGTAAGACGCCAGCAGAGTTTTTATCCGCCCCATCTTTAGTCCCTGTTCTCCCCCCTCCCCCCTCACTCTCTCTTTTTACTTGAAGGAAAAGTGTGGCAATGTATATTCATCGGTAATTTTTGCTTTGATCTTCATGCATTTGCTGGTCGAAAAGTATTCGTACTTATTTTGAGGACAAGACATTTTTGTCTTGTTTTTTGTATTTCTTTTTTCTTTTTTCTTTTGCGCCAAAATCCAGTGAACAGTCTTTTAATTTGGTAGACGCCCATCCATAACACAATATTGGCGATATTTCAGTCAAAATGTTCTGTATATTCATACAAGTACAATCCGTATATTTTCATGTGTTGAACTACGGGATTAAAGTTGGGCAGATATTTTCAGGAAAAGTTGAATATGGATAAAATCAAATCTATCAGCTAATGCTTTCAAAAACACCCCCTGAGAGTTGTGCTTTCATTTTTTATTCGTTTACTGTAATGTTGTCCTCCCCGCGAGGATTGTATTATTCATGTGCAGTATGTATATCGGGTTTTGGTCTGGACAAAAAATATTATGACTAAGCTGGTGCCGCTTTTTCTGTGATCGTCGTCAAAACTCCTACTGTTACTGTTCCCCATTTCATTGTCTTTTCACTTCTGTGCCGGTGTCACAGGAACGGTAGTCCGCTAGGAACCATAGTACGTTCCTCTTTACTTTGTACAGATGACATTCGTTCCATATACTAACTCAAATACAACGACTAACCCTGACCTGTGTTAATCATAACAGACCCCGGACTTCCATTTTTAAGACTACCATCCCTGTCACATTGGTGTGAAAAAACCGTGGGTCCCTGTAACAGGGTGTCTGCTCTCCATTATATTCATACAAGGTTAGGGTTAGCGTGAATTGAGTGGGTCAAAACGTAGGACGGGGCTTCCCTGTACGAATTAATGGGAATCGGACCCTGTATTACGGGTAACTTGACATCGGTACGTTACATGAAGTTGCACCCTCGTAATTTTGGCGCACGAGTTCATCTTAACTCCGATATAGGGTCGCCAAGCCATTTTTTAAACATTGACAAGCACTGGTAAATCATAAAACAAAAATCATTAAATACAACGCTGACTTCCCATTTTTAATTTCATTTTCAATGATGACCTTCCTTTAACACCCCGCGAATGTATCGTTTTACCTTGCAACATTGCACTTAAGGTTGAGAATCCTACAGGGAACCTGGTGGACAAACGTGTGGTTGTTTTAAATGCCTGGTATTGATTAATCCTATCGTGGACAGCAAACGGTCGTTGAATGCTGGAAAAATAGGCTGGTGATTAGTTTGTGTACTCAGTGCACCGTTTGTGTGTAAAAGACCTCTTATTAATTGACCATAGTGTCGAGAATTGCTATGTGTTTGTGGACGAAAACGGATTTTTCATCGAAACAATTTACCAAATCACAAAACAAGAGAACTGCGAGACTTTCCCCCATTTTTCCTGTTTGTTCGTCGATTTGAAGATTAGAAATAAAAGAAGCTTTTTTCCTTTGCTCAAAAAGATAATATTGTGAAATTAGGGTATTATAAGATCTGAATCTGCCATAATGGAAATAATAGCACAGGATATCGAATAAGAGAAAGTGTCGAAAAACGAGATCCCATCTGCAGGCTAATAGCCGACAAAGACAATTCGGTCACTTTCATTGCAATCAAGGGACATGAATGAAAATTTACAATTTTAGGCGAAAGTAAAGTTTGAATTCAGCATTTGCTTTTAATGGAAAATTAAGAAAAACAGGAAAGTTTATTAAATGTTTTTTTTTTTTTTGCCTTAAAGCCTTCACCAACTTTCTGTGTAATGCTACTATAATTTATCTTTGTTTTAAAGTGAATTGTACTCCTAGAAACCGAAACATTTGGGCCAATTCCAAACTCAAGAAAACTAACGTATTTTGAACCTGTTACGTCCAACCATGTTCCTCTAACCGGATGCTTAAGTATACTGCGTGAGATAAACTTATACTTATGGCTTCTCTTTAACTTTTAGGTCTTTTTGGAGTAATTTTCCGGAGCCGACAGACAGAAGCCTTTGCAAATTTCAGGATGTTCCAGGCGACTGGATTAGCAATTTCCTTTGGATACAGCTATTTCTTGTGTGTGGAAACCAAAGTGTTTATCCTCGGCACCACCTTGGTGGCAGCGTTAGCAGGATACGTAGTACTCGAGTGGAGGCAGAGGAAATTCGACCAGGGGGTCAATTTCAATGTTGTTGTACTTTGAATGTCGACCAAAGATCAGGAGGAGAGTGCGAGCAAGTGTTTCAAAATAACTTATGAGCAGATAATTCGACCATATATGATTATGCATAGAAAGGAGTAGAGCAGAAGTGGAGACAAGAATTAAATGTTATTGTTTCATTATATATAGATGTATGAACGTAAAGGGCAATCACCAGCTTTCTTTGTTAAAGCATCAAACGAACGCAGATTAAGTCATGTATAATTCAATGGTGAAAGAAAACACACATATCGAATACCGAAATACATAAACTTGATGTCTTTAGAATATATGATGGTTAGGTAGTTCGTCATGGAGAAGTCGTCCTCCCAGAGTTCGACTAAAAGATGGTAGATTCGCAAAAAGAGGGGTATTCAGTCAGGGTTATGGTAGAAAGATATTAATTAAGTGAAATGTAGGTCTACATGTACAGTCATATGAACTCCAAGAGATGTCAAACATAATTTTCTACAAGGGTATGAGCATTGCGAGAAGCTTGCCATTTTCACGGAAAGGGGTATCGATTTCAAGGGTTTAACAAAAAATGTATTTAAAGGATGACAATTGTGTATGATTGTAGAAAGGGGTAACGTCAAAAGAATGTTTATAGATATATGGTTGACGTATTTAGCACAAAATTGGCTTAGTCCGCTTAGTAACATTGACCAACTGGACGTTGTAACCTACCAGAAATAATTGGTTACCAATCTGGTTAAATGTGAACAAATCTATTTATAGTGCTAATTGGCCAGATTCCATGATACATAGAAGCAAAATACATTGAACATGTATGTAGTATTCCTCGGAAAAGCAGCGAGTCTCTTTAATGCCCCTTTCTTTGAATTTCTCTCTACGAACCAATTATACTGGCAGGACTGTTTATGTGTAAAGACAAAAATTGTGGCACCGAAAAAGAAAAGTGGGAACTTTATCTCAAAGACGGTTATATACAAGATTACTCGAATGTGAGAAATTGAATGTGACACTATCTAAATTTGCGCAACTTGAGATAAAATATCCATCTTGTTTCTAGTTTTATAGAACTGTACGTATTGAGCATGGTGGCAAGTCCGTTGGACACCCCTTCGCTGGAAATGTGTAGGGTTTTTGTCACAAGAAAACATTATGAATCATACATGTAGGTTGAAACACCTACGGGGGACTGTGAACAACAGGCTCGTCGAGCAACAGCGAAATTTTCTCCGAAATCGGGATGTTTAATAAATGATTCTTAGAACTAGCATGATGGAAAGAAATATACACCTGCCTTTAAAATCGTCAATTCAACAATCCGCCACAGTTTCGCATTACTCTATGCAGGCTGGGGGGAATATACTATGGACTAGCTTAGCTTGGTTGTGCTTGTAAAAGTCTTTGTGGGAGCTAAGAAGGAAGCTGTTGTTCCCCCCATATACATATGCTTGGCAACGGCAATTATCGTTTTTGAGACCTGATATATTAAGAATAAGAACTACTATCCAGAAAGCGCATGGCTCTTTAGTAAATGATATAGGTGCACTATTTATATGTAATGACGGTTTTCCCCTCAATGGTCTTTCCTCCAAACTCAGGTACAGGTATTCATTCGTCGTTGCAATCAAGGAACTATTACACTCTACATGTAACAGAGTCGATGAATGCATTCTATACAAGAAATGACATTATTACGTTGCAGATTAACAGCAAAAACTGACTTCGATCACGAACGCCAAAACAATACGCCAGTTTTCAATGGATCTCAAATGTGTTGACGTTGCTGTAATGCATGGAACGTAGAAACTTAGACATGATGGGGTATAAACGGGACATTTACGACCATCTACTTATATATTATCATGAGAATAGTTGATTCTATGTTTCAAGAAAAAGGTGTGCAAATAATCTGACCATGTGTAAGAAAAGATATGAAAATACTTAATGTGAAACGAGCTTATGGTATTAAAATGCGTTCATGTTATCCTCACAGGAATGACTTTTATCGATTGCATTAGTCTAGCTTTAACATCATTGCGTCATTATGTCAGGTTGTAGTTAGGCGGCAATTCCTAACGTTCAATCGGTCGAACTTCGGTTGTGGTACTTAAGTTGCAATATTTTTTCAATTGAAGCAAAACTCGTCGATTTAAATATGGGCATCGACTATCAACAAGCTAAGTAATCAAAAGACGAATTTTGTAGCATAAAAGAAAATTACAAAAAAAAAGAAATAATAATAATAAAATAAAAATAAATAATAATAATAATAAATAAATAAATAAAATAAAAATAAAAACGCAACAGATTATCTCGTGCCACGTTCGTCACAAACACGTCATCACCCACACGCACACACTGAAACGATCACTGGAAGATTCTCCAAGTTAGCTTTAGCGATACATGAAGTATACTCCATTTTTTCAAACAATAATGTTAAACAAGCTACAAAACAAAATATACATGCATACATTTAAGCTAAACACAAAATAAACATCAAAGTAAAAATATAACAGAGTTGGAAGAAAAAGACCTCCAAATGTATATTTTTAGTTTCATCGTATAAAGTCCTGTTGTACTAGAAGAAATTTCTCCCCATCCCTCCTATTCTTGATAATAATAGGAGATAGGAAAGTTAATGACCGACTATCTTGCTCTGAAAATTTATCTCCTCTTACTTGAAATGGGCATATGAACAGAACAATATAGTCCATTTTCATTTCTAGACAGATCAATAACCTCTACCCCGTCTTATTTTTGGTTGAACTTTCTCTCAAATCTAATAGTAACTCAATCAATCATCTGCCAGAACATTACCAGTAAACAACACTACATAGTTTTGAACATGAAAATGACACCTAAATTGGCAAAGCTACGCACATGACCATAATTATAAGGTGATAATATGAATAATATGATAATATGAATTTCTGAATAGTTGTCATTTCAGCAACAGATAATCCAAAATAACTTAACAAGCACAGACTAAAGTGCTCTTTGGGGAATGTAATACAGATGCAAGATGCAACCTATATTTACAAATTATGATAAAATAAACTGTAAACAACAAGTATAAATAAAAATAAAATGTCTAAAATCAATTGTCTTCTATGCTCCCATTTTACATGCAGTTTTGGTTCACAGCCTAGCAATAGGATATCACGATATGAAGAACAAACACAAGGAAAGTAATACTGAGTAAGTGCTTTACAAATATCTAAAGGCTGTTGAAACTGAAAAGATGCATTTCCAGGAATACACAAGTAGGTCAAATAAAAACTTATCAGAACTCAAAATATTCAATACCAAGACAACTGTACTAGCATACCCAGCTCAGTGGATAAAAAACGCTGATATAAGCTGGCTATCCTTAAACGTTTTCCTTCTTCTAATCTTATTTTCCATTATATTTCCTCTCTTGGTAATTTTGATAGTGACTCTTTTTTTCTGTCTCTTTTCAACATGCCTATTTATTTAAGGAGCAAATGGACAATGAACACAGAATTGGTATATGTATAGATATTAAATGCCATGGGAAAACAATAACAAAATGCTCATACAAAAATTAAAAATCCATATACAATTGAAAATTATGATCAACAAATCAATTTTAGTTGGGTAAGAAAAAAATGACTCATCATGATATACTCAGGAAAAACTGAATAACCTGTACGTCACAAAGCTTTCACTACATTAGAAAGTGTCATCTATACCTTCATAGAAATGGAAACATAATCAATAATCTTGCTACACTAAACTATAACCTTAAAGGGGTAAGTGTGTTACAAAACAAGCACTGTTACAGGAGGAAATAATGTAAATATTTCACTCCACGCTTTATACCATATTTTAATTAAAGCATACACGCTCACACACACACACACACACACACACACACACACACACACACACACACACACACACACACACACACACACACACACACACACACACACACACACACACACACACACACACACACACACACACACACACACACACACACACACACACACACACACACACACACACACACACACACACACACACACACACACACACACACACACACACACACACACACACACACACACACACACACACACACACACACACACACACACACACACACACACACACACACACACACACACACACACACACACACACACACACACACACACACACACACACACACACACACACACACACACACACACACACACACACACACACACACACACACACACACACACACACACACACACACACACACACACACACACACACACACACACACACACACACACACACACACACACACACACACACACACACACACACACACACACACACACACACACACACACACACACACACACACACACACACACACACACACACACACACACACACACACACACACACACACACACACACACACACACACACACACACACACACACACACACACACACACACACACACACACACACACACACACACACACACACACACACACACACACACACACACACACACACACACACACACACACACACACTATATCAATGATTGGCAGGACTAACAATTTCATTTCTCTTTTTTGTCTCTTCACTGTTGTCTGGGCTCCATTTAAACAGTTTGTGAGGTGGAGAGCTGGAATCCACATTCTCATTTGCAGGAGACAAACCATCTGAATCAGAAAATGATGAACATTCTTGGGGAGAGGGGGCACCACAGTCTTCATCACTGGTATCCCTGTCCGATTCACTTTCCTCCATACCATGTTTTTTCTTATAGTCCTGCCATGAAATTTTCATCAAAATTTTAAAAGTAAGCAAATATGACAATTTCTATTTCAAATTCTTTTTTTACTTTAAGGCTGACTAAATGTAAAATTACAAGTTGCTGTAAGTTTTAATTGCTTGTACTTACTATTATTATCTTTCTGATTCTTTCCAAATCCATAGATCTGTTGAGTTTTTTCAAGATGGGTAACACATCTTCTTCAAGTGTTAAAAAAGATTTTTCTTGAGGATCCAGTCCCTCATTGTGTGGAGTGCTGGACAGTAAACTGGACAGATCATTAACTTGTCTTGCTGCTTCTTCAAAGTACTGGGAAGAATTGCCTACAATATATATAAAAACCTGTGTACTGCACACCAATGTATTATATACCATTATACCATGTTTTTTCTCCTAATTGCAGCTGGAGTTCTTTTCTGTTTTATGCAGACACAATCTCAACAATCACACAAGAAATGCATTATAAAGATACCAAAATCAATACAGTCTAAACACTTCTGCATAAAATAACACGTTTAAAAATAGATTTTAAATAACATACTAGGAGAAGAAATCACCTTCACATAACCCTTCCTCATATTCCCCCAGCTCCTTCAGAACAAATGCCCTGAACACCATGCAGTCAAATTTGAACCTGTGGTAAGGAGTTGCTCTCTTCTTGGCAATACCCACAGCCTCTTCCAACAGCTTGCTGGCATCTTTAAGACAGCGTTTGCAAGCACTCGACTTTTCCCCAATTCTCACCAAAGGAACATTTTCTTCTTCATAATTCTGCAGGACTTCAAATTTGGCCTGATACAAGTCTGCAAAATCTCTCAGCAGTTTTGCTCTATTCAGGGAGAAATCACCATTTTTTGTTGCAATGTCCAAAGCATCCGAATTAAGGGTTTCTGCTTTTTCAAAAAGCTCCTTAAAATTATCATCTGGGTGCTCATTCTTGTACAATTTATCCCTACACATGGCCTTTAGGGCTTTGGCAATGTTAGCACAAGTCACAGGGGTCAAATTTCCCTTTGATTTCTGTCTTTGGTGAGCAATACTAAAATGTTTCTCTGCCTCTTTATATTGACGAAGTGAAAAGTAAACAGACCCGATGAAGTTTTCCACGTCATCAAGAGAAACATCAAATTCTCCTTTAATGTTCATTAAGCATCTCTTGCATTCTGAAAAACTGTGAAAAGCACCTTCGTAAACCTCTCTTTTGTAAAATATATTGCCACAAACATAATGATAGAGTGTTTGTATTGGAAAGTTGTGTTTTACAGAGTCATCCTGAAAGTACAGTGAAGCCTGCTTGCATATCGCTTCAGCTTCATCATATTGTTCTAAATCTAAATAACACCTGGCAGTCTGAAGCATTCTGTAACAAGATGTTATGACATCTCCAGTTCCTTCAGCTTTCTTTTGGGCTTCTGCTAAGTACTTTATTCTCTCACTTAAATCAGACAGATTTTCTATGAAAATATTGATGACCATAATGGTTGACATTTTTTCACTTGTACAGGGGTTATTAACAGCTATCTTCATATAGGTCCTAAGATACAGTGACATCACCTGCTGTACCACAACAGAAAAAACACCAAGCCCTTGTTTGTGAATCTCCTTTGCTTTTTGCTCAAAGAACAAAACAAAGCCATTCATCCCTTTTACAGTTATATTTCTAAAGTTCTCTTCCAGTGCCTTGCCTTCAGCAAAATTTTTCACCAATGGATGAAGGGAATATCTTCCCAAAGAAGATTTCTTATAACCCATGGTAACAGTATTAGAGTAAATACTGTAGTCCTCAAACTCCACCAGATGATGGCCAATCAAACACCTCAAGTCAAATTTTGCATCTTCTTCGGCATATTGACTGCGAGACTCCTTTGGCTGAAGTTCTCTGAACACAAAGTAAGCAGCCTCCGCATCAAAGCTGGAGTCAAACACGGAAAGTGAAACCAAGCAATTCTGCATGTCTCCAGGAAGTGCTATAAACATTTCTTGTAAGCATCTGTGAACTGGTGGCAAAGTGGCTGTGGCTTTCAGTTTCCCTGGCTGGAGACGGCTGATGATGTCATCTGGTTGTAGGTCCCCCTGTCTCATTAGGTCTGCCACAACTAGCAATGCTTGTGGACTGCAGCCACACAGATGGGCTAGGGTGGAACACTGGCTGTCAGTTAATGCCACATGACATGTCTGGCCCTGAACACAAAGCATTAGAAATATCTGTTTATTCTAAGTATGACACAATAGAAGCATGTCTGTTAGACTGTGTAATATGAATCAACTTAAAAAAACTATTATATTAAATTATGATACTATGGCAATTACATGTATCACCAATTTATGGAAAGATTAATTAATGCTTACACTGTTCATACAAACAGTTTTTTGGAGAAGTTCTTCTGCTTCCCTCTGCTCCATTGATTTGAGTTCTATCTCTTGCATCAAGCCACCAAACCTCCCCTCAACCATCATCTCAACTCTAGATGTAATCAAAAGTTTCACCTAACAAAATTAAAACAAGCCAACAAATGAGACATCATACAAATCCTTTTGGTCACAGAAAGATCTCTTATCTCAAGTAATTATGCTGTTATGTAATATAGAAAATCCTAACACTGACCAGATCTGCTGCAAGTTTTTGTTATTCTAAAAAATTCCTCTCAAAGATATTCCAAAATTATTTTCAAAATTAAGTTTTAATCCAAAGGACCTTGGTCCATACCAAAATATGTTTTATCCTTCAGTAAGGTAAGTACATAATTTACAAAATACACATGTATAAGGAATTTTCATGAAGAACATACTGCTATTTCATTTGCACAGTTTTCATTTTAAGGGCTTTGTATATTGTAAAAAGCCAGTTCTTTCTTTGTGGATTTCGAGTACAAATTACCTTTGAATCAGGGTTCATTCTGCAAACTATATCATGCATGAGGTTGAGAAAGTTGTCTTTGTTACTGCTCCCCATCAGCTTATCAACATCATCCAAAATGACTACAGTGTCTTCTGAAAATGATGCACAAGAGTATGAGCTAAAATTTGTGTCTCAAAATGTGAGTGCCTCAGCATTTTATTTCAGTTAATCTCAGATACCAATAAGACTACAGCCAATGGAATTAGTACATTTTCATTACTCAAGAATATTGGTATTAATAGAAATTTAAGGCCATCCATATGATATATTAAGTAAAATGTAACATGGATTTTTTTATAAATTGTATGATCCAAGTGTATGTAATAAGAATAAATGAACTTACCGTTCTCAGTATTTAAAATGCTGAGTAATGAATCTGTGAGGTCTGCCTCTGTTAGCATAGGTTTTCTTTGATCAGAGTGAGTCATGAGATTGATGACAACTGTGGTCAGAAATTCTTTGATAGTGTCTTTTGCCCTGTTAAGAGGAGATATATATGTTAACTTCTGCCTTAATGAATATATATATAGATAGCACTTCAAGGGGACGGGGGACTTTTTCTGAAAAGGTGGTCCTTTTTATCTTTTTAGTTGAGCCAATTTGGAAAATGTCATAGTATCAACTGGTAGATCTATATTATATTCACAGCAAGGCTTTTACCTTCAAAAAGATGGTTCTCTAGAACCCTCCAATGGCCTATGGGCCTGTTCAAGTTGTTAAAGTCATATTACAGTTTCACAAAGCACAAAAATGACATAAATCATTTCCCTTAAAGTGATATTAAAAAAGAATGCTAAATAATTTGTTTTTGATACTGCAATACTAAAAGATGATAACATTTTTTAAAAAAGGCTAATTTAGAAAAACCACTATATACATACATTATAAATAAAAAAAAGGTCCTAAATCAAGATTCAAATGACAATGTAATTCTTAAGCTCCATATTCAACAAAAACACCTTGCCTTGTTTTAGATATCTATGTTTTAGACAAAATAACCTACCTTATCTCAACCTTTTTTATCTTCCATGCAATCCTAGAACATATTTCACGTGCCAGTGCAGACTTCCCAAGCCCTCCAAGACCACAGATACATATTGCTGTTGACAGAAAGCACACTAATTGTAAACTATTATTACAAATGACAAAGTATACATCACTTTGTACAGCTCTGTTAAAAAAGGAACAAGAAAAACCAAAAAACATACTAGTAACTTATTTCAAGTGAAATTATAAATATTAATTTTGTTAAATTAGTAATATGAGCAGGAAAAAAGAAGATTCTGATTGCTGTTCAAAATGTTACATTATATAAATACTTGCCTTCACAATGTCACATCATACATCTTGTAATTTTCAATTATATGTTTTACCTAGAAAGTAACTTATAGTTATGGAATTTATTATTAATCTATACATGTATGTAATTGCAAGCATGTGATGCTTTTCATTATATATATATATATATATATATATATATATATATATATATATATATATATATATATATTTTACTGTTAATTTTAAAACTTTCTTTGGCCTACAAACCTTTAATGCTTTTTTCATATAGACCACTCTCTAGTTGTTCCAGATAATGTTTTCTGCCAAAAAAGTTTGGATTTCCTTGAATGCCTTTTTCTTTGCGCCAGGTTTCGTATTTGATTCTATGTTCTTTGACTCGATCACTCCAATAAACCTCTCCGCACGAAAAACTCACAGTTTTTTTGAGCTTAGAGAGTAGATTCTCTAGTGTTTCGTAGTATTTCTCTAACGGAGTGCAACATTCTCTAAGAGACGTTAAAAAGCGTTTGGCATCATTATCGTCCGTTTTCAAAACAAGGCTTTCTTTTGTCAATAATTTTAAGCTTTCGATATCGTCTTGGGTAAGATCTTCACTAAGTTCCAATTCAAGTTCATTTATATCCATACCTTGGGCATAAATATATCACTGATACGTAACAAGGCGAATTCAACAGCAATCCCTAAAGTCACATGAACGGCAACTATAATGACTGTTTGAACGTCAGGGTATTTTTCTTCCGTAACAACGAAATAACTTTTGCATTACCTTATTACCTGGCAAGCGCAGGGTGTCGAAAATGTGGTTTTCCATCACTTTAAATGGCATATTTTAAAAATTAACCTTGTAAACAAATTCACTAGGCTCTCTGTAGTGTGATCACATTTACAAATACTTCACCCTCACCAGGGCCCTCGCCAGTAAATGCCGCCATATTTTGATGTATAACACAAGACGGGAGCAACTAGTGGTTTAATATTTGCTCGTCTAGTACGAACAAGATACATTGACCGGCAGATATTAACATTATAAAAACAAACATGTATCACAACTTCTGTGTAATTTTGACACCATTCCCTTCTTTTAATGTAATAAAGAACAGTAATTTGTTTTTAATTAACATTTTTTAAAAATATCAGCTCCTTCACGGTAACAGCGTGGAAACGCTACCATGCAGTAGTTTCACTTTCGATACTGAAACAGATTTTGAACCATAACTCAGACGCAACCTTTTCGATCATGAAGGAATATGTTTTCCATTTTTAAATTCACACACACACACACACACACACACACACACACACACACACACACAAAGATTGAACTGTAGCCTACATATCTTGATTTTTCGGGGTCCGCCATATAGATAAACGTCCCAATAAAATATTCGTCCCGATAGATACGTCTCTATACATACACGTCTCAATAGATTTATGTCTCGTTAAATTTACGTTCCGATAGATCCACCAACAGATTCCTATAAACCCACGTATCTTTAGATCCAGGTACCGCTAGATTCATCTATCTGACATCGTAATCGGCTAAAAGGCCGACATCAACTTGTGATACAGGTATGAGGCTTTCGAGTGATAGTCTGGCTGCGAATATATACTGATCCACTTAGTGATCTGACTTAATTACAACCTGATATTTATTATTTATTCATTTATTTATGTATTTATATATTTATTAGGTGTTCAAACAAGACATACATGTACGTTCGCGTCTACACGTCTATCACACTCTAAAGTTCGGGAACGCGTCGTAAACATGAAACAGAACACATTTTAAGTGTGCAAATGTTACATTTTGAGAACGCTTTAAACAGTGTTCTGGCGCCAGAACACTGAGCGTTGTGAAATACAGAACACATTTTTATGTTCTTTTTTTTTTTTGTTTTGTTTTGTTTTGTTTAGAACACATTTACATGTAAACTCAGAACACTTAATTTTTACGTGTTCGAATGTTACATTTTGAGAACGCTTTAAACAGTGTTCTGACGCTAGAACAGTAAGCGCTGTGAAATATAGAACACATTTTTGTTCTTTTTATGTTCTTTCACTGAGTATTGTGTGAAAACGATCTAGTAGAATAATATATTGCTGAAAGGATTAATTATATGTGTACTGTCGTTTTAAAGAATTGCATTTTATGTACTGAGTAGTATACCAACCATTTTGAGCAAAAGTATACCTGTAATGGATCTATCGGTATTTGGATATCAAAATACGTGGATCTATAGGTAAGCGGATTTAAAGGACGTGGGTTTATGAGGACGTCGTATTTATAGGAACGCAAATATATAGGACAGCAGTAAAAAATCGGATCTATCGGTATTTAAATCTAAAAAGACGTTTTTTCAGTTTTTCCTTTATGTATCTATCGGTAACGGGAGTATAGGGACGTGTAATATTTTGGGACTAAATTCTATCCGTACGTACCCGATTTTTCTTGTTTGTTTAAAATTGCCCACTCAAAAATTAAAACATTTGTAGTTGGATACGTCTCAATTAAATTGTTCGGCTCCAGTTTGGTGACATTTTTAGGACAAAAAATCTGGTGGAAAAGTACCGATTACCATTCCATCTAAATTCATGCCGGTTTTCTAATTTTTTCAAACATGTTTTTCCCCCTTGTCCTCGAATGAGATCTGTACGTGATACTGCAGTTTTCCGTAGTATGTTTTTATAATTAAGTGGCAGTTCATGTATGTGACCAAAACAAAATGTTCAGCCATGGCTTTTCTGTTCGTGTGAGGCTCTTAGTACATACTAGTATTTTCAAACGACCCTCGTACAAATGCACTTGCATATACTAGTATATATATATAGGCCTATATGGTCTGATGTGTTCACTTCTATCACCAGACCTAGGCATCGTTAAAAATGAATTTATCAAATATGTAAATTGTAAAATCAATTATATAGACTTTATAGATAAATTTGTTTAAAATTGAAATACATTTTTTTTTAAGTTTAGGGGAGTTTGCAGTTACCGTTGACTCTTAGTGCAGTGGCGGATTTAGGGAGTGTCAGGGGGTCTTGCCCCCCCCCCCCCCATCCCCTTCGATTTCTGAAAAAAAAAAACAAAAAAAAAACACCAATGGTCCCCTCTTGAAATTAGAATTTTGGATAAAAGAAAACACTTTTTGAGTAAAAACTGTTGTTTAATTAACCACCCAACGTTTTTCCTTCTGCTCATTGTCCTCATTGTTGCGGTTAAAAAGGTATTTACAGGCCCGTAGCCTGATCAAAATGCCAGGGGGGGGCAGTAAGCGGACACAAGGGTGCAAAGCCCCCGACGGGGGGGGGGGTATGGAAAATTTTAAAAAACTGTATGTATAATACTGCATTCTGATGCATTTTAACTGTTATTTATTGCTCAATCAGAAGTCAGAAATTGTGGGTTCATTTTGCCATAAGTACAGTAATTTTTTTCAACACAACACGCCAATTGGCCTGGGGGATAGCTCCTTAAGGGAGGGTGAGCTTTTTGGCATGAAGTGAGTTGGCTAAAAACAGTACTCCTTTGTAAACAGATTGTTGAATGATTGTCTAGTGGCCATGAGTGCATTTTCTCACAGAATTGATACCAACTTTGCATTTTTTAACCTTTGCGATGATTTTTTTGGCACCTCAAATCCC